CATTTACACACTTTCCATTACACACACAATCTCTACACATATTGCATTGCTTTGGTACAATACTTTATATGAAAGTCCTATCTCAAAGAAATTCAAAGAGTGAAGTTCAATACATTAACTAGAAAATGACATTATTATTTCAATACAAAATATATTTCAAATAACTTAAGATAATTACACCTTGTGCATTAAAACATTTCATTTACAATAAGTTCACATAGCAAAATTCTTAACTTTAAAAAATCAAAGGAAGCCATTTGGTGATTGTAACCATACAAAAAGTAATTAAAATCCAAAATTTCATAATCTTTCTCAATACAATAAAACCAAGAAAACATTTATTTTTTTCACCAAAAATCACTGTTTTTCTTTTTTCTCCAAAAAATAAAAAAATAAATAAAGAAAAAAAACCCCCTGTTGTCATGGTAACACTTGTATATCTAGTATGATACTGTTTATACATGAGATGACTGATGATGATAACAAATATGTGGACAACAAACAGCTACCGACATTAAAAGCATTTCATGTAAAGCTAAACTAATTCAAACATACCCATCCTTCAACTACTGTGGACAATTTTTGTATTTTCAGAAATATCTTTGTCAGCCATCATGACTGATGAAGTTTGGAAATTCACTAATAACTGGCAATACATTACATTAAATGGTCAAGAGGGGAAGTTTAATAAACATCTGTTACTGCCAGTCTCCAGTTTCACTAAAATTGGCAATAAAAATTTCATCGTATAAAGAAGGGGCCGTTCAATAAATTAATATGACTGACATTTGATGAAATAACTTCTATACCATTTCAAAATACCAACATAGTCACTGTATTTTAAAATATTTCAAAGGGAAATTATTAGCCAAGCGTGATCCAATTCTGTTCAGTTTTCATACATATAGTAACAATGAAACGTTCAAACTGTAAAAATGATCTTAACTTATATCCTTCTTCTCTATGAATTGTGGTAGATGATTTTAAGCATTCAATATTATACTTGACATGTAATTCAAGATGGCGGATGAATATAGAAAGCGCCATCTGTAGGCCATTATTTCTTGATGTAACAACTAAACCTCAGCAAATTATCAACTTAAATGACCAAAATAAATTCCACTAATTGGTATTGTAAGTTCAGCAAAATGGTGTTAAAAAAACCCCAAATATTTTTAACATTTAGCTAATTTTAAATTAACATCAATTATGGAAAGATTTTGTAAAAGCTGAGATACTTAACACTGTAGGCCACTAAAGAATTTAATAATTTTGCCAAATTTCTCTAAAATCTGAACATTGCAACGTTATGCTTTTCAATGTGGCAGAAATAAAAGTATCTACATGTTCCATAGTTAAAAGAGGAGTTGTTAATCTGTAACTATATTATGATCAGATATCAGACCAAAACAAGAAATCACAGGTACTGAGACATGTTCAGACACAAGAAATCACTACCTGCCGTCATGTACATAGCAATTACTACAGTAAACAACGCAAAAGATTCTCGCGTATGTACGTATTTAACGTAACATTAATTATACAGTATGCTGGAAATGATCTAATAAACATTGCTGTTATTCCTACATGTCCATGCAATAAGAGCATTTAAATATATACATCATATCACGGATTTATATTACATGTAATATAAATCCGTGATCATATATATATATATTTTTAATCTGCAGTATTCAATATTACATGTACAGAAAAGTTACTTGTATTTTTTCACGATCCTACCATGTTTTTCAAATATATTTTTCACTTACAAATATATATGTCCCTGGTTTTCCTCATAATAAAAGAGTTGAAATATTTTTGCAAAAGATGATAATATTTACGTTGGCTTCAGCTACAGATTTGCCAATTTATGCATTTTGCATCGTATATTAAATTCCAAAGATTTATCAAAAATTGAATTCTCAAAATCCAAAACAATTGTGTATTGATGTCATAAACATTGATAATATGACTTGATAAATATATTACAAATTAACTTTAAAGAACTGCAGAAAAGATTTTTTTTACATATTTAAGATCAGATTTTTGATTACAGAGCGAGTCTAAGATATATTACACAGTAACATATATATTACACAGTAACATACTGCTTTTGCCGTTCCTTAAATAATGTGGGGAAAGAAACAGTCACAAAAAGGACAAAAAGGTCGAGAACAGCTGAGAGCTTCTATATTTGGTAAACAAATGGTTTGATTTTTTTAAATGTTAAATTACTTATCTCTGATAAAACAATCTGACGTCATTAACTAACAACATTTATAATGTAATAAAAAATAAATACTCTAAATAAATGAGGGGAGAGAAGAACATAAATATATCAATCAAGCACAATACTAGTGTAGATTCCATTAAAAAAATCATATACATGAACCTTCATGTATAATATCCTATAAATAGACCCAAAAAAAAGTTACTAAATCTGTCTTAAAATATCTAGTCATGTATCTCGCCAACCTTGAAACATAATCAAGTATACCATTTTACAAAAAAAGGGCAAAAAAGATCCACTATTATTATAATAATAATATAATAATGTATAAAAAATGATTATAAAAAGTTGAAATTCTTATATAAAAAAACATATTTAGAGAGCTGTTAAAGACATATTGCAAGGTGAAGGTGATTTCTTTGATGATAACTAGATGATGTACATTAGAAATATAAAATAAAACACAAACAGTAATGTTTCTAATGCTGAAAACTCTGCACTTTGAACACTGTACACGAAAAAGAAAACCTCAAACACACAACATTAGTAATGTTCATTACATTATGCAAAGAAAACAAATATTGTGAACAATTGTAATGTTATTTTTCCAAGCTAGTGGTAATCTTGAAAAACTTTACCTATAAAGATAAGTAAAAAACGAAACTCATGTACACTGTTGCACAAATATAAAACAGCAAAATATACACCAGCTGTGCTATTCAACATCAAAATAGACAAATACGTCCCCAACACTTCACCTATACCCCACCCACATTTTTCATCACTACAATTCACTCAAAACTGTGTCTACAACCACCTTTAAAACCATCCAGCTCTCTAGACAAGATAGTGTACATTATTATTTCCAGAATTTCATTCCATGACATATCCAAAGATAAAACACTTATAAAGTATTTTAACCTGTCAATTCATACTACCAGCCTGTCTCCCAAGACCATTTCAACCCTTTATATAAAAGCAGGTGTCAAAAAAACTCTTAAACTTTATCATTTAAATATACCTCTTTACTTCAACTTTCAATAAATTTTTGATTACGAGTCACCTGTCAACAATAATGTCCACTGGAAATTCAATTTTCAGAGTGAATCGTTCTCAAAACAGCATCCTAACGAAACTACAATGGGCACAAATACTGGGCAAATGAATCTCTTTCATATGTCCAACAAGAACTGTATCTGTAATTTAATAATATTAAATTTGGAATGCATGTTTTGAAGTACAAAAAAAGCAAAGATTATATGATCCTTGGTCCAGACTAAGAATTAATGTGTTTGAATAGATAGCGATATGTTATAGGAGATTAAATAAAACATGTTCCGGTTTTCTGATGTTTCATGGATAAAAGTTTATTTATAGTAGATCGAAGAATTTATTTTTTTCTTGCAAATTCATCTAATTTAGGACCATTAAGGGAATGAGGGTGTTAACTCCATGGGTGCAAGTTCAAAATGTCCAAAACCCATAAATTTAGCATTAATCTAACTGGTTCTAAATAAAAAAAAACAGTTTTTTTTTTTCTTCAGGAGATTAAAAAATCTGAATACTAGGCAAATGCCTAAAAACTTTGACCATCATGATTTCCTTTTTAAAACTATCCTTAGTATTGAGTTGCATGATAAATACTCATGTATTTATTTAAAATTTCATAAAAAAAACTTAATTGATGTAACAAGTTTGTAACCATTACATGCAATGAGACGCCAGAATAAATATTTCTACCAAAGAAAAAAATGGTCTTGTCAATTTGAAGTAGGGTAATCTACAAGAAAATGAATTGCTGAAAAAAAACACTATGCAAAACCCATTGCTCATGTATATATAGCAAAGGTACTTTTTGATCATTTGACTATTTTGATATTAAACCTGCACTGAGAATATCATTTAACATACACACAGATTCTATAATATCACTGACCAATCTTTCATGCAACTATCTAAATATACAAGATCAATTTTCAGTACTGGCTTTTTTCACTTTCTTAAAAAACTGAAAACAAAAATGTAACACAATTATTTACCAGGTTTTGCAAAAATAAGGAAAGTTTTTACTATATAATAATATCTTATTATTCCAACAACAACTAATTTTTGCTATGCTCACCTTGGTAAAATCAAAGTTTGTGTTTGAACTTTACATTTCTGACTAGATAAATTCAAAATTCAAACAAATTTAGGTTTCTGTTGTTTTATTTAATCATGAGTTTCTGTTAATATATTGTTATCATTTAAAGACTATTTTTCTGATGAAACACCAACAAAACATTCAATGTTTGACAATGAATATTATTCAGAAATAAAATTAAATGAACTGGAACTTTACAATATATATACATTACTTGTGTGTATTGCAGACTGGTTTTCCGAAATTCAAATACAGTAACTTGACTCTCAAATAAATGTTTTATAGTATTAAATAACTAAAACAAAAATTATTGACTATAGCAATACAGTATAGTATCATGTACATGAAAGCTAATACTATTCAATTTAAAACCCAGAAGTCTGAATTATTCATTATTTTTAAGAAGACTGGTTTCAGCAATAAAAATATATAAATTTTTTTAATGAGTTGACTGGCACACAAATTTCTGACAATTAGCTCCATGTTTTATGTATAAACAAAATGTCACAGTCTGTACATGATCTAAAGGTGTTAGTCCAATAATAAGAAGAACAGATTTTGATCATTGGAAAGAAATACACTACAATTAAAGAGTTTTTTAAAAATTGAATATACAGTCTGTACTAGTACACTTTATCAAACAGTAGGCTTCCTGTTGGTCATGACAGTTTCTGAATATGAATATTGCACATTTTATAAGAAATGGATATAAAATACTTAAGAATCCTACTCTAAAACATCCATTTCATGAAAAATCCATACACAATATTATATCCAACATTCATTCTACTAAATTGACAAAAACTTTAAATACATATATATATGTATGTATAATATGTATATACTGATCCAATTATAAACATCGGTGGTTATCTTTCCTTCTGGTGAGAATTGTAAAATTTTCATATACATTTTTTTGTAAAATATCCACATGTCTAGCAGGGTTATCTCTGCTCGTTCATCATGAAAATCCGTATAAAATTCATTACCATATCATCAATCAATGTACATAGTTTAAAATACAGCATTACAAGAGAAAAAATATAATAAAGCAACACATAACCGTCTAAATGCGATAAAACTTTGACCTTGAAAAAAAAGGTCGTCATTTTCATACATTCCGCTATGTTATGATGCTTTCATCACGTATATATATGCAGTACAAACTTGGAAATACTTGACCAACGTGCACCATTTGTTCACTTCTGAACAGTTTTTATGTGGAATTTCTATCATTATGAACATCAAACTTCCATGAACAAGTTATCTTATGTCTGTTATATAGCACAATTTAAGCTTACTCTGTAAGTCTCTACTATTGGCAGATTGTGATGAACACAGAAATTCTAAAATGTCTACATAAATCAGAGTATATATTGTGTTTTACACATATATATACACTGTAAACAGTATATAGTTTCTTATTCTTGGTTGTTTTTTTATTTTGTCTGTTGTTATCGTGGTTTTTTGCGGAGCACCATGCCCAATGACTTTGGTATACAAGATCAAGCATATAAGGGAAAACTACCCAGACTTCACCAGGATTTCCCATAATGCTACTTCAAAAATGGCAGCCTCAAATCTTGAATGGTTTGTATCATATATATCAAGATACAGTTGTCCATGGTTTGGCATAATTACACATATTTTCACTTAATGTATATGAAGAAGAAGAAGAGAAAAAAAAACACGCATGTAAACTGAGCATATTTGATTATACATTATGCTCATAAGTCAGCACATGACAACATTCACATCAGTTTATAATGCCACTTCACTATTTCTGGTCTGTGATTTGGTATTACTTCTACGAACAAGTGATGTTGTACTAGTGCCGTTTCCTACGTCAAAGTGCGATTTGAGGGCCGCATGACGCTCCTGCATGGCCGCCAGTCAGTTTGCATAGTGGTCAAATGAGCCCAAATATTCCAGGGCAGCTCTGTAGCAAAACTGGTATTGGTCCTGAAATATAAAGTTAAAATATCTAAAATACTGATGATAACAATAATATACTTTTAAGACAGAGAGCTTGTTTTGATAGATAGTGTGGGCCTAGTGGTTAAGGAATATGTCTCAAAAACAAAGAAATCATATGTCTGAGCCTAATAATGGCATCAGTTCCTATTAATGAATGAAGCAGATCAGGAAGGCCTGTATTATCTAAATCTTCAACCACAATTAAGCTTAACTAACTCACTGTTTAACAAAGATGATAATCAAAATGGTTCTAATGAATTTAACATACACATTTGTTTTTATAGCATTTAACCATTCATCCACTGTATTTCTCACATGGACCTTCCAAACTTCCATTTTGAAAATGCCAATTATCAACTTTAGGAATATTGAAATGAAAAATTTAAATATTAGCCACCAGTATAAAGAGTTTGGTAGACTGCAAAGACATGGCATCTGCTTATCACTTTCAGTTCCAGCAGAGTAATGAGCAATTCAGTCATTTGAGCCGTGCCATGACAAAACCAACGTAATGGGTTTGCGACCAGCATAGATCCAGACAAGCCTGGGCATCCGCGCAGTCTGATCAGGATTCCCTGTTTGCTATCAGTTTCAGTACTTGCTATAGGGTTTGTAAGCAAACAGCATGGATCCTGATCAGACTGTGCGGATGCGCAGGCTGGTCTGGATCCATGCTGGTCGCAGACCCATTATGTTGGTTTTGCCGTGACGCAGCTCATTTGATAACAGGGGAAGATTTTAACAAACCTCTGTCTGCACCATGGCAGGTCTCTGTGTTCTGAGCATTTTCACTGTCTGGAACATGTCAACTACGCCTTCGTATCTCATACGCTCCAAAACAATACTCAATGTTATAAACACTCCAGTACGGCCCACACCAGCACTGAAAAATATAAAACACAACACGTTATATATGTAGCCACTAAAAAATATGAAACATTTCATGATTTTTTGTATTTTGTGTGCAACTAATGAATTATGCAAACAATGCAATATGTGTTATGTTCTAACTGAAGCCTTGAAGTTCTAGCAGAAATGTATAAAGAACATTAAAAAATTGAAGTTCTGGTATAAATGTATAAAGAACATTAAAGCATTGAAGTTCTGGTATAAATGTATAAAGAACATTAAAGCATTGAAGTGCTGGTATAAATGTATAAAAGAACATTAAAGCATTGAATTTCTGGTATAAATGTATAAAGAACATTAAAGCATTGAAGTGCTGGTATAAATGTATGAAAGAACATTAAAGCATTGAACTTCTGGTATAAATGTATTAAGAATATTAAAGCATTAAAGTTCTAGCATAAATGTATAAAGAACATTAAACCATTGAATTTCTGGTATAGATGTATAAAAGAACATTAAAGCATTGAAGTTCTGGTATAAATATATAAAGAACTATCTCAAATACTGTGCAAACTTGTTAAAACTGGGTATCCGAGTTGTTTAAAAGTGTAACAAAATTAAACCTGTAGCATGTTTTTTATAACATAACATTGTATCGACTTTGTTATTATTTGTTGACAAGGCATTTTTGTATAGACATTATTCTCAGACATCACATCAACAACAGGAAACCAATCACAATAACAAAGAAAACATACTATATAGTTTTGCAGAAATTACAATCCAATCCTAAATATAATTATAGCTTACACATTTATGTGTACATCATTTAGCAGTATACAGCGACGTCATTCAGCTATGATTATTGTAATCTACATTAAAGAATTACCATACATACAAGGAAACTTTAGATACATTTACTTAATATTATGTATGGAGAACTAAATTCTTCTCGTATTTCACATTCTAGCCAGTATATTCCTGATAAAATGCACACAAGTGGCATTTTGACTAGCATAAATACATGTCTGGAACAATGCATAAAAATAACATTAGGGCCAAACATATGCCTGAAATAATGCACAAATGGGAATTAAACCAAGCATGTACCTAAAATAATGCATAAAAGGGGAATTTGGAGCCAATAATGCACAAATAGGAATTTCACCAAGCATGTGCCTAAAATAAAAAAAAATATAAAAGGGGCACTAGGGCCAAACATGTGCCTGAAATCATGCACAAAAAGGGTTTTTCATTAGGATAATAGTCAGTAAGGATAATTATCCATTAGACCATAAAAACAGCTGGAAATGTTTGTTTCTACTTCACAGAACTGGTAAATAACATAAAAGAATAGTTACCTGCAGTGTACAGTTATAGGTCCCTCCTGTCCAAACTGCTCCTTTGTTTTATGTACTTGGCCAATAAAATCAATGAATCCCTCTCCAGACTTAGGTACACCTTGCTCCGGCCAGTCAGTGAACTGGAACTGGCGTATTGTCCGAGACTGACCATCCTGTTCATGGAATTAAGGAAATTATTTGTCAAATATAAATGCATAATCAGATATTAAACCACAATTACATTTATCTTTTTATGTTTGTAAAGACTGTAACTACACTTTCCTGTTAAAACAGCAAAATGGGTGTTTCTTCTCAGTAAAATCGCCATTAAAATGCTTCACACATGTAGAGAAAAACGTCACCATAAATGTGAATGACATGTTGATTTATTAAGATAGAATCAAGATATTTAATGGCTGGGTACTTACTCTGGCATCAGTGACCTTAAACTCTCGTAATATATATTGAGGCATATTGTACTCTGCCATTGGGTCCACAACGAAATACTGGTAACGTGCCGACCTCTCACTTGGCCAGTACTGGTGACACTTTTCCTAAAAAATAAAATACATATCAAGTTAAATTGGCCAAAAAAGCACTCCTTACGTTATCTTTTTTCATAATCTATGTTTGTTTGAACACTAATATAATATATATAAACTTTATATTTTCATCTTGATATCCCCAAAATTTATATTTGACAGTCCCAAAAATGGATGCTTGGGCAAGTCAGTTTAATTATTAGATGGGACAAGGGATATTTAATATTGACTTACTCTTCCCATCTCTCTCAGTTTGGTCAGCATGACAATAATAGTAGAGTTATGTTCCCATAACATTCTCCAGAAATCTTCCGTCGTGTCTGCCAGTGGTCCTTGTGTCGCAACATAAGCTCTTCGGTAACGGTAACCCTAGTATATGTTAAATAGCAACATTAAAATCTGTATAGAATAAAATGTTTAAAGCTTCATTTAAAAAGATCTGTTAGAGCTTCAAATAGTACAAGGAAATTATATACATTCCATAATAAAAATATCTGTAACAACTTATTCATGAAGTAACACAGGAATAACTTATTCATGAAATAACACAAGAATAGCTTATTCATAAAATTACACTGGACCAACTTATTCATAAATATCAATGGACTAATTAAATCATAAAATAACAGGAGAATAACATATTCATGAAATGGCATTGGAATAACTTATTCATGAAATAACATTGGAATAACTTATTCATGAAATGGCATTGGAATAACATATTCATGAAATAACATTGGAATAACATATTCATGAAATGGCATTGGAATAACTTATTCATGAAATGGCATTGGAATAACTTATTCATGAAATGGCATTGGAATAACTTATTCATGAAATGGCATTGGAATAACTTATTCATGAAATGGCATTGGAATAACTTATTCATGAAATGGCATTGGAATAACTTATTCATGAAATGACATTGGAATAACTTATTCATGAAATGGCATTGGAATAACTTATTCATGAAATGACATTGGCATAACTTATTCATGAAATGGCATTGGAAAAACTTATTCATGAAATGGCATTGGCAAAACTTATTCATTATTAATGAAATGGCATTGGAATAACTTATTCATGAAATGGCATTGGAATAACCTATTCATGAAATGGCATTGGAATAACCTATTCATGAAATGGCATTGGAATAACCTATTCATGAAATGGCATTGGAAAAACTTATTCATGAAATGGCATTGGAATATTTTATTCATGAAATAACATTGGAATAACATATTCATGAAATGGCGTTGATGAAATAACATTGGAATAACTTCTTCATGAAATAACATTGGAATAACTTATTCATGAAATGGCATTGGAATAACTTATTCATGAAATGGCATTGGAATAACTTATTCATGAAAAAGTGATTACTACAGGTGATGATTTCTGAAGACAGAAAAAGGGGTAATATATTTACTTACATTAATAAAACTTGCATTAATGTAGTCCGAGCCATCGACTCCTCGTATTGGTTGTAGGGCAACTCTAGTAGATTCATCTGTGATGAGAAATACACAATGCAGCATTAAAATAATGAATAAATTAGAAAAAGCTAGCTGTATCTTTTAAGTGCAGTCCTTAGTTATCATGAAAAACAAAACTAATTATTATACAGTTTCCTTTTATGTGAGCATAAAGGCCAATTAAAAGACTCTTATTTGAATTTATTGTTTATTTCATCTATGCGCACTAGTTTAACAAGTCTATTTTTCAATCTGGACCAAACCATTTATTATTTTAGGGAACAATTTGAATAGTGAACTTTGAAGACTGTGATCGGCATGGACTGATCTTAGTCTGCACTGTTCAAATGGGTAGAATCATTAACCATTTGCCACTAACAGGCTATGGGTTTTAAACTTACGTATTTAAACTAGAAAGGTAACTTTGTTACTATCAACCAATACAGATACAAGGGAAGCTACCGTTATACAGTAAAACAATATAAAAGACAGGGTTATCTTCACTTACATGGTAAAATGTTGACTAGTCTATTTTTGAATTTGTTTACTGGTAAGTTGGCACTCACAAAGCGATTAGGGCTGGCCTTCATGTTGGCAAGTCTCTGTAAACAAGAAAAGATGTGAGAAAATGTTAAGTCTGCCTTAAATTGTTGAATATTATCACATCATAGAATACTTGTTAAATTTGATATTTTTGACTAAAATTTTGAGAAAGGGAGATTACTTATTTTTGAGAACATAAACCAATCCTGTTGACTCCAGTCAACATTTTAATAAAAGATCTTTTATGCACTGAACTATTTTGTAACAATAATAAAGAAATTAAGAACCAGCTAAATTACTGTCAGTGAAAAAGAAGATATTTTTTTTACAAGCACGTAATCTGCAAGTTTAGATAATCATAAATCAAGTGAAAAAAATATGACAGAATAGGCTAACCATCAATTATTACTCATATTTAAAATGATACATAGAAAAACGACTGATATTATTAATTCGTGTACTCATAAAAACCTCACCTTAAATTCTAGTTCCATTCCGGTAACAGTTTCTCCAGGTTCCGGTTGCATCAGCTTTTGTATGTGTGGTGACAAACTTCTTGCCGGAACTTCTGTGTTTCCGCAGGTGACTGCCTCTAGCAGTGCATCGTGGATAAATATATACTGATCTTCAGTCTGTACCATGTAATTTCTCTGGGCTCGTAAACAGGTCACATGACCGTAAATGTCAACGGTTTTCTCGTGCTTGATTCTCTCGAGCATTGCGTCTATAACTATGAAAGCACCAGTCCTTCCAACACCCGCACTGAAATTATACATTTAACAATATCTCAATAATTGTAATAACACAATGCCAATAAAAGATGAACAAAAGTTAAGATAAAATTGTTATTATGAAAACATTTAATATTGATCAAACTGGATATTTTATCCAAAACTATAAGTAACAAAAGTTAGGATAAAATTGTTATTCAAAAACATATAATATTGATCAAACTGGATATTTTATCCAAAACTATAAGTATGAACAGTCAATAATTTTCCAACCATTATCTTAAGTCTCAGTCACTCTTATTAAGCATTGCAACATCTTATATGCATTGTGGATGTACACCGCATTATTTCAAGCATATTCAGACCAGTGGATAGACCAATCAATCAGCTGAAACCTTTACGTGAAATCATGTGACCTCACCCACTCGGCTCATGTGACCTTACCCACTTGGCTAACCTGTACATAAAAATATACAAACCTGCAATGACAGATGACAGGACCAGCATCCGGTGGATTTGTGGCTTTAACACGCCTCATAAACATCAATAGTGGAGTAGGATGGTCTGGTACACCATGATCCGGCCATGCTGTAAACTGGAATTGCCGGACTTCACGTTTCTCAGGGACACCATACTGTAAAATAACATAAAAATTTTTTACATGTTTTCTTGCATTTCTTGTCATAAAACAAAGTGAAACATCAACAGAACAAAGAAAATGTTTAAAAATTTTTTTTTTGAAAAACTTTTTCTTTATATTCTTATACAGTTGACTTATAAATATTGCTTAAATAATGCTATCATAACGTAAAACTTACTCTTTGGATATGAAATGTCCTAATTGTGTATGTAGCTAATTCTGCTACATCTACCAGGAGGACGTGCATCAGTCCGTATGTTTCTGCCCCACGTCCCGGCCAGTACTGGTCACATTTTATACGAGATCTCTCCTCTAATTTGGTCATCATTACAATCGTAGCACAGCGCTGTTCCCACACCATTCGCCAGAAATCTCCGAATGTTTCCGGTAATGGTCCCTGAAATACAATGAAACTTTTATTATCCCAACAAATACATGTACACTTTTTAGCTTTGTTTCAGTCAAGGGAGATAATGCAATATCGTTGTCCTGACAATTTTTGTATATTCAATATTAATTTAAAATCATGATCATGTTGTTCAATGATATTTCATATATCTGTATTAATTCAGTTCAGATTAGAGTTCTACATATTTAATGTCGACAAACTTTTAAAACACCGGTTTTTGTATCATTTCTAATTCAACAGCATTTCTATAATAAACTTTAATACTGTACTTGTACTTGACTAAATACACAAAAGCTTCAAAAAACTATAAATAATCTTACTTGAGTAGCAATATAAGCATTCTGCTTTCTATATCCATCCATGTAATTTGCGTTTATGTAGTCACTTCCCGAAATACTGTCAATTGGCTGTAAGATTACTCTTGAATGGTCATATGCTATCACATTAGCATATCTATTTTTAGGTTTGTTATATTCCAGGTTGGAATTGTCCCATGTGAACTGCTGGCCTGGTTCAATCGACTCATACTCTTGCGAGAATTTCAAATTATCTGCCGATTTTAAAGATTCAATATGTTCGGCAAGCATGTGGATGGGTATCGGTGGGTGGCTTATCATAGCGGGTGTCTGGTAGTGCTGGCGCCGGAGCTCAACGGGATCAGTGGGGTGGGGTGGAATGTTGTCAACAATGAGTTTACTGGCTGGTTCAGGAGCCTTCTCCTTTCTCGTAGTTTTTCTCCTAAAATTTAATCATACAAATCATCAACTTTACTATAACCTTCCTATTAAGACTGTGTTAATCTATGATAAAATTTAAGAAAGCATAGAATTATCGAATAAACCCGTAAACATAAATCAATGTAATTGGCATCTTTGTATACAAAACACAAGACTGAACTATAATGTAAGGACCTTACACAGGCAAAAGAAATACCCATATTTTTTATTCTATATCATCACTTTATAAGAAATCAATTTCACAAATATACATAATCATTATTCTCTTAAATAGTCTTCTATAAAACAAAATTTCTAACATCTGTAGAACCTGATGTACAAACCTCATAATAAGAGCGAAAACAGCGCAGCCTATCACTATAAGTACGACTCCCGCACAGGCACAGACTATGATTATAGTGACTAGGTGCTCGTCACTAGGAGTCTTATGTTGAGGATCACTATTTGCTTTAGCTTTATTATCCTCTACAACAGCGTATCTTGGATCTACAGGCTTCTCATGCGGCACACTGACTACAGTAAAACTGTCAGAATAATCGCTTGATTTGTACAGCTGAAATTACACAGAATAAATAAATTTATATTACATTCATATGTATTATGATAATCAAAGATTAATCATTATGTCTTGTTTCCATTGAAAAATTAAGAATTACCTCCCTTATATTGAAAAAAATAGTTCAATGAGTGACGGTCGTTATTAATTGCAATCTTTTTTTGTCCTTTCCTATGCACTTCCAGAAAAGAGTGTGAACAGTAGAGTAAAGATCTGAAGCATTATAGCCAGTTAACCCGCTATATACATTTTTAACACAAGTAAAAGAGATAACTGCAAGGATCTGTTGATTCATTTTTCTCTTATTATAATCATGTATAAGTCAACATAAATGATATTAATAAATATCATTCTTTTGCCGATTATAATATTAGGCTTAATGATAAATCAAAGAATCAAAATTAAGAATCATATACAGTAGAACTTCGGTAAGTCGAAGTTGAAGGGACTTGCGTAAAAACTTCGACACATCGGGACTTCGACTCATGAATTGCTCTCAATTCCATGACAAAATTTCGACCCGTGACTAGTCCTAATTATAAGATCTATAACAAAACCCATTTTATATTTTCCATCATTATTCTGATATTTTACATTTTACAATGATAAATATAGAATGTTAAATAACTTTTTTCACGACTAATTATACGTATACAATAGAGTTACAAAAGGCGTAACAATACGAAAGGGCGATAACTAAACCAGCTTATAGTAAATATTACGCGTGTTATTCTCACGCGACACCGGGTCACGGATGCTTTCAAATGAAAGTAGTTCTTACCGTTTACTTTCAAATACCACTATGGCAATTAAAATAGTAACGATTAAAGCATTTTATCACACATTTTATCACAAACAAAGGCTGTTTGAACACACGGCTGTGTAATTAACACCTGTCACACAAGTTGATTGGAAATCGTCTACGCAGCCAGATAAGGTGTGAAAAATGTCTCGAGATCGAAGGTGTCAAAATAAACGAACAACTTCGACTTATTTGTGGTAAATTACACTAGATTTACTTTATATGGACCACGAAAAAACTTCGACACATCGAAAAATTCGACACATAAAATCTCGACTCATGAATAGGTTTTTATAAGTAATATATAGGGGGAAGAATCGGGACTTTCATTTTTCTTCGACACATCGAGAAAATCGACTAATCGAAGTTCGACTCATAGAAGTTCTACTGTAGTTGTCTCTCAAGTTGAAAATATCTTAAAAAGGTGAAACTAGTGTTGAGTTAACTTCATATATATTTTTTTTAATCATAAAACAGTCTCTAGAACACCAAAGGGGCCAACTTTCAACATTTCTAGGTCACTCCCAGACATGCCGGACAAAATGTCATGCATGCTGAATGCTTTAAAAGGTAACTGGAATTAAATTTTTCCTACTGTATACTTAAGCATTTTAATGACTAAACCACTCCTCTTTAATTAACTGTTTCTTTGTAGATAAAACAATCCTTTGTAACTGATTAACTGTGAAATTTAATTGACTAATTAGGCAATTAAAATCTAAAGCAATAAAAAAGTACATTATATAAAACAAACACTTACCCCGGTGACAGTGTAAGCTCGAAGGAATACTCTGTATTTTCTGTCTGAGTCTAGCAATCTGTTATGGAAGGTACCCTCGGTCCTCTTGTTACCAAGCTCAAAATGACCTGGCAGTCTACGAGGATCGAACCTTGCAGCAATGTAAGGTTTACTGGCCTGAAGATCCACTGGCATTGTGTCGCTCGTCAGCTAGAATTGATATAATATACAGTTACTTACAATTCTCTAGAAATTCTAATATATGTAAGGAATATAATTTGCAAACTGAAAATATATCACAGATTATTTTTTCCCAGATCAAGCAACATCTCTGTCAAAAGATTCAGACTTTTGTTTAACCTTGATAAGTACTGGTTGCATAAGTAGGTTATGTAGCCCCCAGCAGGTTAAAGGTTAAGCTGAAACTGACACTATAATCTTGTCACACAGCAAATACAAGCATGCCAATTAAGACTTTATACTGGTGGTCAAGGGTTTTCATTTTTATCTGAGGCAACAGATGTGCCAACCAAAACAACTGATTTGGTGAAGGGTCAAGGGGGATAACTGTATCTTCAAGGTTAAAATATAACCAATTTTAAATTTTCAACTGATGATCTGTTAATAATGATAACCCCCTGATCATAGTGACATAGGTGTGCCGTAAATGCAAATGGTTCACAAAGACTACTTAGACCATAATATACACTTAAAATTGAACATACCTCAAGAAGTGTAAAATCTTGTGGTCGTTTTATGGCATAGTCTTCCTGCACAACAGCAAGGTCGTAGTATGCAAGGTGTCCGTTGATTTCCGAGGCTGGCTGGAGACCGATAGTCATTCTTCCGCCACCTACACTTACTATTTTTGGGGTTGCTACAAATGCAGGTGCTGTAAAACAATAATTTTAGTTTTAACTGTTTCATATCATAATAATCATCTCATTTCCAGTATGTTTCAACATTTCAACAACTGATTTTGCATCAAGGACTTGTTTTAAATTTATGTCAAAAACAACTGTCTTTTCTTTAAATTTATTGTGAAAATTCTTAAAACTTTTAACTTGGGGTATAGCAACATTATCACGTTAAACTTTCCGCAGAGGTATCATGATCTTATAGACAATTTACTTTAACTCTTACCACACTAAGTACTTCAAACAGACTTATCCATGTTTAAATCTGGACACAACCATTTATCATTTTTAGGGAGAATTATTACAAAATCGATACTGACCAAACAGTGAACAATTCAGACCATAATCAGACGGACTGAATGTGCCAAGTAAGGGTAGATTCAGTCCCTACCAGCTGGTTAGGGGTTAATAACAATAACCCTATTCTCTGCTTTATGAAGCATAATAAATGTATTCAAAGACTAAGAGGTACCACATACCTTCTATCTTAGTCTGGCATTCCAAGAACTGCGTTTTGCCGGCATTACCATCTTGGAAATAGGCAGTTATATTGAAACTGTAAACCATTCTGGGCTGCAGATCTTTGATCACAATATTATCCTGAGTACCGGGGATTTCCTTCTTAGACTTCGGTGATTCACTGGTCTCTACACCATTTGTGTTATGGTATGTCTTTTGCCCTTGATATTCAATCTAATGACAAAAACAAATGACATTCTTTGTAAAATATAACAAGAGTTATTGAATTTAATCATAGAAAGTTATCTGAGCATGAGACTAAACATGTATTGTTTTGAAGGCAAAATGATCACAGACATGTTGGATATTCAAGGAAAAATTCTTAGATGCCCAAAACATTTATTAAAAGATCTTTGGTAACTTCCTTTCTTTTTTTAAAACATAATAATTTACATTAGGTTTCAAGCTTGGAAATATCAATATTTGCTAATATCTGGAATTTCATTGGGTAATGTCCACAGATCAAGCTGCCGTCTTGAGCACAGTTACTGCCATCGCATCATTCCTGTGCAGGCTGCCAGCACATGTTGCTTTCTCTTTTGCAAGGATAACTTCTGTACATATCAGAACTGAGGTACAGTGTGAATGACCATAGAAAGGATTTCATGATCATTAACAATCAAAGTGACCTGCACAATTCGGGAAACGAACCCGGTCGATTCACAGACCATTGCTTTACCTATTGAGCTAACCCGAAAGCTCACAGATTATATAGCGAAAATATTATGCACAGTTACATAATGCAGTTCTTTATCAAACCCAGTACTAACAGATTGTATTTGAATACTACAGTAACATAATTGGACTACTTACAACATATTGTGTGACATCTGTTTTTCTGGGCTTTTCCCATGACAATGTTACTTGTCTAGACCCTACACTCATTGGACGATAATTCTGTACAGTGTCATCACGCTCTGAAAATAATAATAATTGAGCCGTGTCATGACAAAACCAACATAATGGGTTTGCGACCAGCATGGATCCAGACCAGCCTGCGCATCGGCGCAGTCTGATCAGGATCCATGCTGTTCGCTTACAAACTCTATTACAAGTAGAGAAACTGATAGCGAACAGCATGGATCCTGATCAGACTGCACGGATGCGCAGGCTGGTCTGGATCCATGCTGGTCGCAAACCCATTATGTTGGTTTTGTTGTGACGCGACTCATATTAATCCAAACATATTAGCACAACCAATAGAAAACAAAACACAGCAAATAATTGAAAAGACCTTAATGACATAACATGATTGATACATTTATCTAGTATCTCTTATATATTAAATTATAGATTTTTTTTAAGCATTTTTTCACTGGTTAAATCAAAATTAAAACATCTCTCTTTGTTTCTGACAAGAATTATTTTAATCTTGATGACAGATGTCATAATGGTACTATGTATTATTATTATGCAAATCAATGACTTAATGTCATTTAATTAGTGATTTGTGTGTGAATATTTTTTCATTTTTTGCCTCATTCATTAAAATTTTCAATTCCCATAGATTAAATTCAATTTTTTTTTTATGTCTCTCCCACGCCCACATATGTCATTGTCATAGATGAGGATAGCAGTCATTGAGGACATATTTTTCTTCAGCATAGAAACATCAAATCCATCACAATCATGTGGCAAGTAGAGGATTTTATTTTGATTGAACCATGCACGTCTCCATTTACATGGTCACAGGAGATTTCTGGTAAGTATTTGCCCTCGGAATGTTCCTGATTACACAAAATTCTGTGTATCATCAATAACACATTTTTATGTACTAAATATATTGCCTACGTATAGACGTAATATCTTCTGAACCTTAAACCCCCCTTTATTAGTGAAATGGACTTGCCTGAGTTTGTATTTGGAACTGTCCATTAGGAATTTAAGGGAAAAAGTGTAAAAATTCTAAAATTAGGGCAGCAAACACTGGTAGTATAGGACTGTAATGAAAAGAGCTTGCCCGAAGATACATTTAATTAAATTAGGTCACGTAAGGAATTTATGTAGACAATACATTTACATCCATGACTTTCAGATCAGACTTGACAATAATCAATGGGCAAAAACTTATTTTCTTTTGGCTCACATTCAATTTACAAGCACATACTGTTCTAGAAAATGTGGGGAAAGACTTTTAGTTAACAATACAGGTTTAAGGTTCATTCAACCAATTAAATGTAATTAATATATGTCTCTTTACCATTACAAGTAATTTGCAAGTTGGTACATTTAATCTCAAGACTGGTACAAAAAGTGTCAAGATCAGTGAAAAAAAATCCATTAACCCTTGACTGTGTGTAATATAATTATCAATTTTGGGGATGTCAAGAATTGTTTAAAAATGGGAACAAGCACATGAAGTCATTAAATGAGTATAAGTAGTTGAAGCTGATAAAAATATTTCAACAATTGTTACATTCAAAGACTTACATATTACACTTACCTAGAGGAAGAAAATTTGTTACTATGACATTGGTCAAGTTACTCCAGCGGTCATTGACAGATTTGGACTGAACACGGACAGCGTATGACTGATGTTGGTCAAGATCTGTGAGCAATGCCGTGGTAGTCGGTCCGTCTGTGACGATCTTATCCCATACACTCATGTCCTCCAGTTCATGTTTGAAGTAGTATATCCGGTACGCAGCTATAATATTATTACGTTTTGGCTCCTCCCAGCGTACTATTATCGTTGTTGGTGAAGTTCGGTACAGACGAACCTTCTCAGGCGGTGGGGGTTCTGTTATATACAATATAAGATTTAAATTCTAAGGAAAAGCAATATACAAAATCAGCAAATTACCGATACATTTAAACTTGTTTACAAAGGCCAAACTGGGTAATATAAGCATTGGCCTTAGTTGACAAAGGGTATTTTCAAATAGGTGATGTTTATCAGAAAATTGAAAATTAATGGTCTTCTTTCAAGACATGTTTTTCTGTTAAAGGCCCTTATTTGAGGGTTGTACAGACATTTTTTCTGTTAAAGGCCCTTATTTGAGGGTTGTACTATTCACAGGTGTGACTGTATTATACTTAATCACACAAATCAATCATTATTAATAAATAGAAGCCTAAAACAAAAATATTTTCACAGTTGATAAAGTGATAAAAAAGTGTGTTTAAAAGATTGTTTTTATACACTCAGGTTAGCTTCAATGGAATTCTTGAATACCTTATCTTCTTCAGATAAGTTTAGAAAACTTTATTTCTTCCCATATTATTCATAAGAATCATAAATTTCATTTAGGAAATTCTGAAATATCTAAATAGTGATTCTACTGTAATACTATATCTTAAAGTGTTTTAATCTATATCTCTATACTTAGCAGAATAACAGTTTGTTCTGGAACATTTTATTCTGGTTTCATGTGCGTTAATTGACGAAACTATTGTATCTTACAACTCTTTGGATAATCCACCATCCATACAATTATGAAAACAACACATTTTTACAGTTTTTAAACTTAATATATATTTTTATACCCGGTCACAGTTATAAATTTGTAATATTTCTACTTGACTTTTTACTTTAATTTGTGTCAGAATGACATAAAAGTTTTCTATAATAAACTTTCACAGTTTTCTTATAAATTATTCAATAATCTTTAAACTTTCACAGCAACTTCAGATCTTAAAACATTTAAAAAAAAACACTCTTAAATATGACATGTTTATTTCACTGAGCTAATAATATTCTACAAATAGAATGTTCCAAGTGCACACACTATGGCATGCTGTTATAATACATGTATATAATGATATTCATCTTCAATGTTGTTTCAGCAAATCAGGCATTTTCAACAAACCATTTAATAGGTTTGTTTTGTAATGCAATTTTTATACGATACAATTGTTATGTTCAGAGTAAACATGCTGTGAAGATTTTCAAAATTTAGTAAGTCTGTTAGTTGAACATGGTCTGCAATGATGGATTTTCAGAAAGTATATATTTTGAAATTTTCCAAAATTTGTTCAATGATTTTGTCCAGATTTAAAAAATAAACAAGTGCATGTAAAAGATATTCAGCTTGTTATTAGTTCAAAGAATTATTTTTTTCTAAAAAGGATTGGTTAATATGATATTACTGTTGATATGACCAGGGGAGGTTACTCTCTGTGTGTTTTATCTTAATAGAAATCATCGTAAAAGTTATTAACAATAATAGAAACGTGAAATATTTCATTTCCGGTGGTTTTATTATATCTTTCTGTTTGTTCATTTATCAACAATGCAGAATAAATGGCTACCAATGGCTATCATAATTAAATATTTATATAAATGGTACTCCAGATATCGTTAATTGGATCTTAATTACACATGTCTCCTGTAGCAGACAACTCATACAGATCCATCACGTGAAATCAATCACCGTGATTTTTGTGAAAATGAACTTGTCAATAGTTCAAGGGAAGCTTCCTGTACTATTTTATACATGTTTTTTTTTTACATTCAGTATCATGTTCTTCATCAGGGAAATGGCAAGTCAATATGGGTGTGAGTGCTTATTTTGCTGACAGACAAAACTAGTTGAGTTCAATCTTTGTTGCTTAACAAAGCCGGTTAAGATAATTTTGTATATAATGATGAACAACTCTATGGAACAAGATTAAGTAAAAAGCACTGTTAAACTGCAATCCATGCTTGTTACTTATAAAACATTTATCATTTAATATAGGTTAATCAGTTGTTTTTTGTTTTTTTTTTAAATCCCAAACAACTTATATTTTTTCTTTCTTTTTTTCATACGGGATGGGGTAAAAGGTTAGTAGGATTCACATAGTAATTTTTTCAAATATTTGCATTGTACACATTCAGTTGTTAGTCATGTCAAACACATGCCGAGACCGTTTAAAAAACCTACGCTTTCCAAATGTTCGATACTGAAGCCGTGGACTCCAAGGACCTGCACCTTTAACTGTGTACGCCTTTATTTGGAACACATAATCAGTATTCATTTCAAGCCCAGTCACATCATACTGAGTGCCCGATATGTTTTGTTCTTCAACGTTTATAGAATCAGCTAACTGATAGTAAATGAGCTGGTATGAAACAATTTCCCCGTTTCTTAACTTATTAGCGGGCAGGTCCCAAGCAAGGCGTACAGAGGTTTCGGTGAGGCCTACCGCAGAAAAATTCTGAGGGGCTCCTTGGGGCACTGAAAATTTGACGATTTGTACACGATGACTATTGAAGTTAGAGTGAGTTTTAGTGTATTGTAATGTGATGAATCAATTATTACATCCCATGATTTCTGATAATCAGAATCAAAAAGCGTGTACCTTATAACACCCAATACAAGAATTTATAAATATAATTCAAGGACAATTAGCTAACAATCTCTTTTATGTAAATAACATAATAATTTTCCACACCTTTCCATTTCTAATTCTTACAATTTTTAGATTTTCTTGACATTTTTATATACATGTATATGCAACAAGGAGATAATGAAATTATCATTGCTTACAAAGGGAATTTATTTAACAGGATTAACATGACTGGAGTATTCCTTGAAAGGAAGATAATTCAAATATAATTTTCATATAAAAGGAAGATAATTCAAATCTAATTTTATCACAACTTTTCCTTGAAAAAATGGGAAGAATTTACAATGTCTAAAATATTGTAAGTATCTTTTAGCATCTGGATTAAATGATGTAGCACAGTTTGGCTTTTAATGATATAGAAAGTTAGTTTACCTCCATCAGGGGTAACAAGTTCAGCCACAGCCCGCTCTCCATAGTCTATCTCGTTCCTCGCAAGAACACGGAACTCATACAGTACACCACGATCTAAAAATCAAAATATAAAACATGAATTTTACCATTCATTCTTCAGTTTGTTTATAACAAAAACAGTAAAAATTCCTTTAAAATCTAAACTCTGCATATTCCACAGCAGATGTTACGGCATATATACTGATTAATGACAAAGCAAGATAAGTTAATAAGGGGGACATAATTCAACAATAATAGGTATTGTCAACTTAAAACCATTTCTATGACTCACCCAACTGACACATATCTGACTAAAAAGTAATTTTTCATTCTTATTCTTTGTTAAATTTTCATTTTTGTATATTGAATTTCATATTTGTGTAATATTCATTTCTACAGTTACCTCCCATTTGCTATCTTGATATTTATCGAATAATAACTGGCATTTTGTGCATGCATGTCTCAGAGACTTTAAAACGTGTATTACAGCAAACAACAGACACTGGGATAAAAAAACTCATTAAATTTCATTGGCAGTGGCCCAGAAAGCTCTACAATCAAGACATATCACAAAAGGGATTCTTGGCTAATATCATTGCTGATAATAACTGTGGGGCTTATCAGGCGCTCTGTATCTCCAAATGAAATTTTTGTTAAGATAAGACATTAGGAAAATGTATTTTCAATACACAGGTGCAGTGTAGTTTTGTGTTGCCTGCCAGGTTGATGTCAAAATGTGAACACAGTACTCCTATCTTATCCATTATTTTAATAATTCCCAATCTTTTGAAATTAAATACAATCAGGGTTTAAATGGCCTGAAGTTTAAAATCTAAGGAATGCATAAAACTTCGTACATCAAAAAAAGCTCTTGCTAAGATAGGAATGACAAAAATAACAGCATTCAATTACATAACAGTGAAATTTTGCCAAAGTTCCCAGAAAAGAAGAAAGTCAAAATCAAACTATACACTATGTTCAAGTGCGTAATATTAAAATACCTGGGACAAGAAGTTCCAATTTGATACCTCTTTCAGTTTAAGCTCAAGACAATAATGTATGAAAAAATTACAAAGGGGAAATAATCCAAAATTATGCAAAATAGTTTATATATAGATCTTGGGCACTGCACTGACCCTAAGTAAGAACTTCTCATGTTTGAAGTTGCAAGTTTATACCTTCAAATATAGTTTTTGAGTTATGCCTAGACAAAATTAAATGAACACACAGACAAGCTGATCACAGTGAACTGCCAGGACAGTTGTGTTAGGGGTAAGAATATCATGAAATACACAGAAATAATGTGTACACTCAGTTCCTGAAAGGCCAAATGGACCCTCATTAAGCATAGATTACACACTACTACTTTACCTAATGGTGGGGTAAACCATGTATGTATGTTCTCCTTCAAAATCAGCTGCTCATACACCTGTCCTTTAGGTCCCCAGTACAACTTATAACCCTTGATGTTTCCATTGGGAAACTCGGGCTTCCACCAGGTAATCTGGGCGGACGCAGGATCATTCTTGACAAGCTGGGCTGTCAGTTTTCGTGGTGCCGAGGGTACTGAAAGAAAAGAGCACAGTTATATTTCACATATATCTCTGTTTTCATTGCATATAACTTCATAATGCATGCAAGCATAATATATAATATTTTGAAAAAATAAGAATTTACTGCATTATCCATAATTAAAGGAACAAACTATAGTCGCTATGTAAAAAATTGAAAAAAAAAAGAAGAAAAAAAATCCTTAAATTCGAAAAATATAGAGAAAGGAAATAATGTTCATTATATACTTTGGATTTTTCTTATTTGTTTTATAATTATAAAGCATAATATTAGGTAGGAACACTTTTATAAGCTCGGATATCGTCATCTTCTAAATTTCTTGATACTTGCGCGATTATGTGACCTATCTAGAATTTGTTTTTATTTTGTCTCTTAATCCATTTATCTACTTTCAATTCACTTACTTAACAGGTTATATCATGTTAGAATATTCAAATAATAATAAAAAAGTTGTTAAAACTTTTTTATTTGCTTTTGGGAATTCCTGGAAAACCCCTAAGGGAGATCACTCTAACACTTTACTTTACAACAACAACTAACATGCTATAAAATTCAGAAAATCGTAATAAAAATGGACATTTTGAAGTCAACACTTAAAACGAGAAAAGAAGAATACATGCAACAAACGTAATTATTGAACACTATTACTGTAATAATATTAAATGTGTGCATGTAGATGGGAACTGTCCAATATTCAGGTCAATGTAGGCCCAGGCACAGTGATAATTAGTATGATAAGTGGCACAGGATAATTGCACTAGATGTTTTATTAAGGAATGTAGACTAGGCCAAGTGGACTTAACATACTAAAATGTTGTTGGTAGTGCTGGTGACCTTAAATTAAAGGATGGAGCATGTGTGTTGGTGTGTGTAGGGTGTGTGTATTATTATGTTACACAGTTTTTTTTAAAGGTTGAATATGAACACTGTCCCATATCAACAGTTACATCAGGAAAGTTATTTCCAGGAAAGAAAGGTAACTTGCTTATAAGCCTCTTTAAAAAAAAAAGTTTTTGACCAGTGTAATAGAGAGTAGTTCCAAAATAAATTGATGCTTTCATGGGCATAATCCTTGCCATGTATAGAACTATATTCATGTGATACTGATATGACTGTAATTTTGTAATATTGCATTGACAGAAAAACCATTGCCTACTGAATAAGAAATACCTGAACATGATATAAAGTCAAAGTAACATATTGAAAAGGCATACATTGTGGTCAACACACATTTACTCTCCAATAGACCAAACATGAGGTAATAATTTATATTTGTTTGAGTGAATAGGACGTTTTAGGATTCAAATGTTTTTGAACACCAAAACAGAACTAGGTGATCAGTGGTTACTGAATTCATTAAAACTTTTGAACTATGAACCTTTTATGGATTGAAAAATACTTGGTATAGATTTTTCAATAAAAATACAAACAAGCACTTTTTATAAGGAAAGTGGTGTATGCATGTACGACTTCATTGCCAAACCTATTAACAAAAGCAGTTGAATAAATCTAAAGGTAATGTTTTATTCTGTTTTTATAATTATGTAATTTGTGTTAAATAGTAGATTTTTTTTTTCGGATAAAATATGTGATGTGATGAGATGACTATTTAAATGACTATACAGTTTTTTTTTTTATAGATTGATATAATTGCCTGTTACAGCTCTATACCCTTTCACAAGCTTTATGTACAGTAAAATAATATACCTGCTCCCATTGTACTAATTATTTTGGGGCGACTTCTAACACCATCACCACGTCTCGTATATCCAGCGACGGTCACCTGGTACCGAGTGTCTGGCAGTAAACCGGTTATAACCGCTTCATTTTTATTTCCATCGTTCACGTCTTCGACTTTCTCCGTGCCTGGTATAGGCTCATTGTCATCTACCTGATTATAATAGATGTAATAGCCCCGAATCATTCCATTGCGCTCCTTCGAACGTGGAGGTCGCCATTCAACATAAATAGTCGTGGAGTTGACAGCTTGTACTTGCACACGTTTAGGCTCGTTTGGAACTGTTAATAAAGAAAAAAAAATTCATAAATTTATAGAAATTTAATTGTAATCTGATGAAATAATGGCAAAAAAAAGACTAAAAAAGGACTAAAAAACTTAAACATTTATTTCTTTCACTTGGTTGTACTACTTCAAAGCTGCATGTAAAAAAAGTAAATACAAAATCAAAAACAATTTATCTCTTAATATAAAGAAATTTGGTTCATTGTCACATGATTTTATTCTTTCTTTTTCATTATTGTGCTGAAGATAGGACAAATACAGTGGAACCTCTTAATCATGACTTTGAATTGCTCAGAATGGATATTTGAAATGCAAAAGATGCTGAAATGTGAATGTTAGTCACACGTAAATTTCAATTAAAATAACAATTCTGTATCATGAAAATCTTCCTTAAAACTTGATGGTTCCTCAAGTTAGACTTTCTATATGTAGATAACTAACATATTTAAAAAAAACCATAAAACATTTACAACTTTTCAATACATAACATCTTGAAAGAATGAAGGCACATGTTTAATCCAAAATTTTTATCTTTCAATAAAGAAAGGCATAAGGGATATATCTTAAATTAAAATCAAAATTTACAATTTTCATACAATATTTATATGAACATTAAAAACTTTGATTTTTTTCTTTGATTTGTTTTGGTTTGTTTTTCAAATCAAAATTCCATATAGTTTTATTGAAATCAGCACATCTGTTTTCAAATGAATGCTGGCAAGCATTTCAGACATTCTAATTTTAGCAAGATTCAAATTAAATTCTAAAGTGGCAAATATTGCTGAGGGTCCACTGTCAGTCAACTAACTGTAATGATATATTAACATTTTATAATGGGTCAACTGTCGGTCAACTTACTGTAATGATATATTAACATTTTATAATGGATCCACTGTCGGTCAACTTACTGTAATAATATATTAACATTTTATAATGGATCCACTGTCGGTCAACTTACTGTAATAATATATTAACATTTTATAATAGATCCACTGTCGGTCAACTTACAGTAATAATATCTTAACATTTTATAATAGATCCACTGTTGGTCTACTTTGTAATACTATATTAACATTTTATAATGGGTCAACTGTCGGTCAACTTACTGTAACAATATTAATATTTTATAATGGATCCACTGTCGGTCAACTTACTGTAATAATAGATTAACATTTTATAATAGATCCACTGTCGGTCTACTTACTGTAATACTATATTATTATTTTATAATGGATCCACTGTCAGTTAACTTACAGTAATAATAGATTAACATTTTATAATAGATCCACTGTCGGTCTACTTACTGTAATACTATATTATTATTTTATAATGGATCCACTGTCAGTTAACTTACAGTAATAATATATTAACATTTTATAATAGATCCACTGTCGGTCTACTTACTGTAATACTATATTATTATTTTATAATGGATCAACTGTCTGTCAACTTACTGTAACAATATATTTACACTTTATAATGGATCCACTGTCGGTCAACTTACAGTAATAATATATTAACATTTTATAATGAATCCACTGTCTGTCAACTTACTGTAAAACTATATTAACATTTTATAATGGATCCACTGTCGGTCAACTTACTGAAATACTATATTAACATTTTATAATAGATCCACTGTCGGTCAACTTACAGTAATACTATATTAACATTTTATAATAGATCCACTGTTGGTCTACTTACAGTAATACTATATTAGCATTTAAAATGGATCCACTGTAGGTCAACTTACTGTAAAAATATATTAACATTTTATAATAGATCCGCTGTTGGTCTACTTACTGTAATGCTATATTAAAATTTTATAATGGAGCCACTGTCTGTCAACTTAAAGTTATAATATATTTATATTTTATAATGGGTCAACTGTCGGTCAACTTTCAGTTATAATAGAGTTGATCCGGCTTACATCAGACATCGTCGTTCATCGGACAACTTCACTCTGACGTAATTTTTAGAAGTTTTTCTCTACATACACACTGCTCTCCATGCTTCACTGTTTTCGGGAGTAAATAAGGAAACTTACCAAATTGGGGTCCAAAACGTTATCCATTTAACATCGACGCAAAACATGTTCAGAGATGGTTTCAATGTTGAATGACTTAATTAATCTCACTCATGAAGGCAGGCATTTTAACAATGTTTATCATGTATAAAAGTGAATTATGTCCGATTGAAAATTCCGTGCGCTACACCTTTGTAACAACAATTTTGTACATGTTTTCTTTTAATGTAGTTGTTGTATAGGCATTAATTCTTTTAATTATTTATTATGTACTGTTATTTTTTTTATGTTGTTTAATGTATATAATGTTTATAAAAGTTTATTTACAAGCATATTGTTTAACAAATATTCCTTTAAGTGTAAGAATTAGTAATACCCCCTTTTATGTTTTTTTTTAGTGTAATTATAAATTGATAAAAGGTTGTTAACACCTTATAGGTAATTAAATTTGTTGTCCTGTAACATGTTGGTTTATTGCTGTTTAATTAAGTTAATATGGTTATTATGGAAACCAAGCTTGACAACCAAAGCATATATAAGGGTAAACCTAGGGTCGATTTTTATATATGCTTTGCTTGAAAATAAATTTATATAGTGAAACCAACTTTTGTTACAGGTAAGAAATTAATTTATTTTCATATTTATAATTTTTGTTATTTACTAAAATTACAAATATGTTTGTACAATATTTTTTATTTTAATAAGATAATGTATAATGTTTTCAATATTACAATATTTTTCTACAATGTTCTATAATGTTTTATGTACAAATATTTCTATCTTAATGTATTAACAGAAAATCTCTAAATAATTTTAATTTTATAGTTACAAATTTTATATAGCTATTCCGTTCTATGTCCTCTCATTTGTAAAACATGAGCGAGTATAATTCCCCAATATTAATTTTTTTTTATTATATTATTGTAATAATTGTAAAAATATATATGCTTTGCTTGAAAATAAATTTATATAGTGAAACCAACTTTTGTTACAGCTTTATTACTAAATAAATTACATAAAGAAAATAAACCAGGAAAGAACAGAAGCTTAAGCTATACAAATAAAATAAGGTTCCAATAAACACAGTGTTAGGTTCCCCTCCCACGACAAAAACAAAATAAACGAGAATAACCCCTGTTACACCTTTCACTGCCCTAAGCTTAAAGGCCATGCAAATATTTTCTATAGTTTTATATTTTCAACGTGAACATACATTTAATTTCAGTTAGATTTATTTATAATTAAATGCGTTTATCTCTTCTTTACACTTAAACGTTATCTTAGTCGGATACAGTTACTCGTATTTTCTTCGAAAATGTCTTCTTCTTCCAATATACTGGCCACCTTCAACTAACTGAAGTTTACTGCCAGGTTAATGCGCAAGACGGAAAGAAAGAGTAAAAATAGTGAGGAATATATACAGTGCAGGTTAAAAATGGAAAAGAGTGTGGTTTAGATATAGAGTTGGGACAGATGAGTACGGAATAACTCAACTGTACCGGCTGATGTAGCATCCGGAGGTAGGCTGTTCCAGTATTTGATGGTGCGTGGGAAGAAGGATTGTTGACGTTATTGTGTACGGCAGTAGGGAATCTTGTAGGATAGGTTGTGTGAATTTCTTGTAGATGTGGAGTTGGAAGTTGTGAGTTGTCTAGAGCGACCTTGTTGTTGATGACTTTGTAGAGCATGATCAGTCTGGCCTCCTTGCGACGTTCTTGTAGTGATTTCCTGCAAGCATGTCTGTGACCCTGGACCTGTTGTGGTACTTGTTCTTGACATACCGTGCAGCACGTCGTTGGACCATGTCTAGACGGTGTATGTCTCCCTTCTCGTGGGGGTCCCAGACAGTGCTTGCATACTCCACTGTGGGGCGGACTGGAGCTTTGTAGGTCGTTTCTTTGGTGGAAGTAGAGGCGATGTTAAGGTTTCTTCGCAGGAAGCTCGTGGTACGGTTGGCTTTGTTACAGATGTTATTTATATGTTGGCCCTAGTCTAGGTTGTTATTCAGGGTGCAACCAAGGTATTTAGCTGATGTGACGTGCTCTAGAGTATGACCATAAAGAGTGTAGTTGTGGCAGATGGGGCTTCTTTTCTTGGAAATGGTGAGGACTTGGCATTTGTCTGGCTGAAATGACATTTTCCATTTATCTTCCTAGACAGCTAGTTTGTGGAGGTCAGCTTGTAGGGTGGAACAGTCAGACTTGTTTGTGATGGCAAGGTAGGCCAGCGTATCATCTGCAAATAGTCGGACTACTGCGTTGAGACCCTCTGGGATGTCATTTATGTCTGTAGAAAAGGAACAGACTCGGGCCAAGGACTGAGCCCTGTGGGACGCCAGATTCTACAGATACTGTATCTGAGGTTACCCCTTCCAAGACTACAGATTGGGCTTGGTTGCTTAAGAAAGCCTGAATCCACAGGTTGGTCTTGCCTCTGATGCCGTAGTGCTCCAGTTTGTGGGATAAAAGGCTGTGACATACTTTGTCGAAGGCCTTGGTGAAGTCCATGATGAGAACATCAGTCTGTTTGCCATTTTCCATGTTCCGGGTTATGTCATCTGTGAATTCAAGAAGCTGTGTTTCACAGGATCTGCCCTTTCTGAAGCCGTGTTGGAGAGGATAGAGAATCTTCTGTTTTTCGGCATGTTTCATGATGTGGCTGGTGACAATGTGCTCTAGGAGCTTGCAGCAGATGCACGTTAGGGAGATAGGGCGATAGTTTTCTGGTTTATATCTGCTGCCTTTCTTGTAGGTCGTCGATACATTGGCTTTCTTCCAGTCATTAGGGATGGTGCTATTTTCAAGTGACAGAGTGAAGATGGTGTTGAGTATTGGAGCGATGTCAGTTGCCAATTCCTTGAGGATGCGAAGACTTATGGTGTCAGGTCCTGCAGCTTTATGTGGGTTCAGTGCGAGAAAGAGTTTGGTGATTCCGTTAGTGGTTAGGGATATTTCAGGGGCTACAGGATGTGTTGACTGTGGATTGACATAGTCCCCCTTCTTGAAGTCATCAGCAGTGATCGTGATGTTGTCTGTGAATACAGATTTGAACTGCCGGTTAAGTATGTTAGCTTTGGACTTAGGATCGGAGTGGAGTTGTCCATGCTCTTTTAGTCCAGTAATTGTTTAATTGTCTTTCTTCTTGTGTTTAATGAAGGTCCAGAAACGTTTCTGACTGCTGTGTATGTTTGGATCTGTAGGCTGCGGTGTCAGAATATTGTCAACATATGTCCAGTAGGCTTGTCGGAGTTTCTTCTGCACTAAGTGTTTGCGCTTTTTGTAATTTCTTTGATGTTGTCTTGTGATTTTTTCATTTTCTTATGGAGACGGTCTCGTTTTCGAATAAGTCTTCTGATGCTTTTGTCAATCCATGGTGATGTTTCTCTTGGCCTAGCAGTTTTGTGGGGAATATGTTGTTGTATACTTGTTTTCAGTGTAGTTGTAAATTTGTCCCAGATAGTGTTGATGTCTGTGTTGATGTTGGTTGTTTAGTGAAGTGGTGCCATGTCTTCCTTCATGCTTTCCCATCTTGCCTTCGTGTACAGTGGGATCTTCCGAAGTGTTTGGGTATGGGTGACAGGGCTAAGGTCAAGCTCAACGAAGACAGTGTCATGGTCAGATATGCTGGGCATTGTAGTGACTTGCTGTACTTTGCTAGGGAGGTTTGTTATTACGAGGTCAAGAGTGTTGTTATTTCTTGTTGTATCTTCAATTTGTTGTTTATCCAAGCAAACTGTCTTCTTACGTCTGTAAGAAGACACTTTCAAAGAAAACTTGTACTGTATCCATTACTTAAATATTGTAACACAAATCATTCTCTTAAAAAACCTAGCTCTGAATTTAAAGAAGAAAAGCAAGATCGTTTTTATCTTTTTTTTTTAGAGAAAACTAGGTAATATGTTTCTGTGCGTTAGTAAACCGTCTACAGTAACGGAACATTAGTCGCCACAGCCATGTACAGTGTGTGTTGGTATATAAAAGAATTTCTGCAATAAAAGAAACTTTAAAAAGTTACATTAGAAGGGCTTCTCTCTTTTAGGGTACAATGAATACACCCATTCTGATGCATGCTTTGAGGAAGCGAGAAGTGTTTGTTTCAAAATCTTTATGAAAATGAATATATATATGACCATGCGTACTTATTTGATATAAATGATTATCTGATGCAAAAAATCCCTGTACCTCTAAAACTTTTGCAGATTATAGAATAGTTTGGATGCAAAGAAATTCAAAGATTCTTACTTATTAGAAATGTGTGACTATGTTACTGAAGAATCATTGTAAAATGATAAGAATTAACAGGGAAATATTTGTTTAATAATAGAGATTAAAAAAAGAAAATGGCCAATATTACCATGACCATTACATTAAACAACTCAAAACTTAAAATTATTCAACAAGAGCAGCAGGGTGAAATAGACGGTGATAGCGCCCATAATTCTTCATTAGTAACATGGTTGGCATCAGTAGAGAGTATTTTTGAGTTACCTACCCCAGCCGCAGCCTCAGAAAAGAAAGTAAACAGGAAAAAATAACAAGTCACAGGCTTTTGACCTCGGACGAAATATATGAACAAAAAACCCAAGAAAAGGAAAATAAAATAAGGCAAGAACTTGAAAAGGAGCAGCGAAAAATAGCTCAAGAAATGAAAAGAAAATATAAAATTGAACATCAGCAAAAGCGCCCAAAGAAACCTAATACCAATAAAAAGTAAATGATAAATAAAATGAGTAAAACGTGTAAAAATGATAAAAGCTCTGTCTGTTTTATTTTGTTCATAAATTTAAATCTTACAAATAAAAGTCGTTTTACTATAGTAACGGTAGAATGATTTTAAACAAAATTAACCCTGTCGAAATCGCACAAACAGGGAATTGTATGAGCGATGATCCCCGCCTTCAGTGTCCGATACAAAGCTCTTTTGTCCGATTCAAGACGCTTTGAATTCAGAACACTTTAACCCTATTACTATACGCATAAAATCGAGATACGTAGATAAGAAGCAGTAGAATGGTTTCTGCAAGCACGGTTTATGTACCGGGTGAAACGGAACAGAGAGAAGATTACTATCAACTAAATTATAGCCCGCTTCGTCCAGAGGTGTCCGATAATTGCCGGATCTACTCTATATTAACATTTTATAATGGACCCACTGTCAGTCAACTTATAGTAATAATATATTTACATTTTATAATGGGTCCACTGTTGGTCTTCTTATGTAATACTATATTATCATTTTATAATGGATCCACTGTCGGTCAACTTATAGTAATAATATATTAACATTTTATAATGGGTCAACTGTCGGTCAACTTACAGTTATAATATATTAACATTTTATAATGGGTCAACTGTCGGTCTACTTACTGTAATACTATATTAACATTTTATAATGGGTCAACTGTCGGTCAACTTACAGTTATAATATATTAACATTTTATAATGGATCCACTGTCGGTCTACTTACTGTAATCCTATATTAACATTTTATAATGGATCTACTGTCTGTAAACTTACAGTAATAATATATTAACATTTTTATAACATATCATTCATACATAGATAGTTAAAGTAAGGATATAAATTCATTCAATATAAAAACAGTTCTAGTCTAGTTCTAAATCATCAAAGACAAGTATTATTATTTATCAATACAACATGCAAAAACAGGCATCATGCAATATCTAACATCAAAGTGGTGACATTTCTAGGTGCTGGGATCACTTTGTGATTTCAATTTTTAAAAAAGTACTTTATTACTCATTGCTAGGCAACTAGTCTACATAGCAATAATAAAGTAGCAATAATAAAGATATTGAACTTGGTAAAGAGGTCAGACATCAAATTTTTGAACTTTTTTTTTTTTGCCTATCTTTCAGACTTGATTCTAAGCCAAGTGAAGGCTATGTATAAATTTGTAAAAGGAACAATATTGAAAGTTTAATGTAAAATTTATATATATCTGACCTTTAATGTAAACATGGCAACAAAAGATTATTTTTTTATTAGCAAGGAACTAGATTCTACATCTAGGTGCAAATGGAGATAATAACATGGGAAAAGATCGGTCATTTTCAAACAGGTCCTGAAAATAGTTCTTTCAACACCATTAGGTGGGCTAAAAATATCACCACACACTTCTTTAACAACAGAGATATAAATATATTGATGACTGATGGTGATGACAATGATGATGATAATGACTCTATTAGTTCTTGGGTTTTTTTTATTATTATTATTTCCAAATTCCAAAGGGGTCAGTTAGGTTAAAAGGTCAAGGTTAGAAGGTTAGCAAATTCCCATGTCAATAATATTCTTTGGGTTAGAATTAGTGCAGCTAGATTTTCTATGACGAAACCGCATATTCCAGACTAAATTCTAGATTATAAAATGCCGCTTGCGACCATTCCAATTTAAGTTTGTTGCGACTGTAAATATTTGGGTAAACCATTCACAAGCTGAATTTAATATGAAGCTACAACATTTTTTATTTTGTAAGTATCTACATAGGTTAGGAGGAAATGGTACATTATGTGGCATCAGCATCTGCTCAGTACCTACCCGACTCATGGGTTTTCACAAATATAGGCGGGGATTGCGGGCTGTCACCAGCTGCAGTGAAAGCCAGTACCCAGATCTTATATTCTGTCCATATATCCAGCTTGGCCAATGTGGCTTCAAGTTTGGTTACTTCCACGTGGTCTGCCTCATTATCAGACAAACCGTCTTCTGTCCTAAGATAAAACACTCTATATCCTAGGATAATGCCATTTTGCTGCTCAGCGGGTGGTGGTCTCCATTCGACCAAGATGGTTTGATGACCTACTGGGCGCCCGCTAACTGCTTGCGGTGGTGCTGCGGGGGCTATAGAGATGAAGACAACAACAAAAGGTGATATAACAAAACCTCACACAATCAATGTAGAAAAAGATAAATAACAAAAACAAAAAGTCAACATTTCCATACAGTCCCAGCAATTCCAATAAAACAGGCCATAACATTTACCCTTGGAGACATGAGTTGTCTGTCCAGAATTTGAAATCAATCAAAATACTAGAAGTAGTATGTGTCTTGTTGCAAACAGTACGGATGTTCAGACTAGACTGACTCTATATTTTCAGCATATCCAAAGTCAATTCCGAGACTTAAATTATAATAAAATTGCCCATATACAGCAGTTTCTTCATTAATTCCAAAAGATATGCTGATTTTAATTCAATGAAAATTACATGTTTTTTAACACTGCCATGATATATTGAAACTTTGAAAGGGTACATTTAGATTCTGATTACTGTCCAAAATCTTAAGACACTTAAAAAGAGCTTCATATTTATCAAAGTGTTGACTTTTGCTATGTTGAAACAATAGTAATAATAAAACTGAGGAAAAGGAGAAAAAATAAAATACGCAAAACATAAAACAAAACAAGGAGAAAGGTAAACTTAATCTAAAATTCTAATTTTGGCTAGTTTTAAGTGATCCAAAGTGACTAAACATGGAAAGTCATTCAAAGTAAACTATAAAAATATTAAAAGTAAAAAAAAAAAAATATGAATGAGTGAAATGATAATGGATGCTGAAATACTCAGTGAATTTGGATCTTTTTCTAGACATATTGTTCTAAAGACAGAAAACTTTCCTAAGAATGTATGAAAGGTTTTACTGAAATTTATTCCAAATGCAACCTGGCTATGTCTTTTAAAGTACAACATATTCTTTTAAAAGTGCTCAAAATGTACATCAATCTCATTGACCCATTTTTATATGAAAAGTGACACTGAATACTTGTCAAGTTCATCATTTAACCTTCACCTTAGGTTGTCAAGTTCAAGATTTGACCTTTACCTTACATTATGAGGTTCAAGATTTGACCTTTACCTTAGAAAAAAAACTAATTAATTATAACTATATAAACAGCATGTGTTTATTCTTCCTAAAGTTAATTCATAACAATGTTCCTTAAGAATTGTGTCCCAAATTAGCCAATGACATTTGACCTTGTAATTGTAACCTTGACATAAGTTGGTTTTTTTTGCTTCAAATTGTTTTGTACAAACCATGGAACAATGAGAATATACCAGCTTGTAAAATAAAAGTAAACTAGAAATAAACCAAAATGTCAAAAAAATAAAATAAATATTATGTGAAACTCAGATCACGCAGAATATTTCTAAGAAATTTAAAATCCAATTTTGGGTTTATACATAATTATATATACAAAAGTATGTATATATAGTATATAAATATATCGATGACAATGGTGATTGACTAGTGAGTGACTGATGATTAATGATAGTTTATGAATCACAAGACAATATTCAAGAAAACAGCAAAACTAGACAGTTGATTATATATTGGTCTATATAGAAACAAGTTCAAACACAATGAAACCATTTATAAAAGAAAAGATTGAAATATATATTCTTTTTTCTCATAAAACTAAAATTCATAATACATAAAACTTATTGTTTAAATGAAAGTGATTAAAATGAAATTACTTTATATATATTTAATACAACAACATCAAAAGGCCAGGTGTGTATAAATGAACCCTCTAATTATCATCTATACTTTTTGTTACATCAGTTAAATTTCCACATCAGACTATTACACACATACAACCCTTGTTTAATTGATTTGATTGATATTTGAGTGTATATAATTAGATTTAATTAAGTTTCATTCTGTATTTCAAGCAAAATGATTGCAGAAGATAAATATAAAGGTAAAGAGAATACAGTTTGTATCAGGCTAAAGCTTTATCGCATACCAATGATTTTTTGAAACACATTTTTTTACAAAAAAACATCTACTTACTACTTTATTGTTATGTCATTCTCTTAATAGAGTTTACATTTTTAACAGTTTCTTGAATGTTCTAAGAAAGCAGAATGATGTATTCGAATTTATTTGAAATAGGTTATCATAAATTATAGAAATTGATTTGTTTCTGTAATTTTTTAACATACTGTGAAGACGTATTTTTAACAAATCATTAAAAAGGAAAAAAGAAACCTAAACTGTATGTGGAAAGCTATCTAATGCATTATATAACAGCAATACACAGGCAAATCTTACTAAATTCTGGTGTTTTGGCTTGCACAAGAATTGTACGCGCTCCAAGACCTCTGCCACTCCGTGCAGCAAGTTGTATATGATATATGGTGTCAGGTACGAGCTCCGTCAGAATGTACTTCGTGGTCGGTGGCAGTATTTTCACCTGTCCGTTCGTATGCTTTTGTGAGTCATTGTAGTAGAGTGTGTAGTCTATAATTTGTTTGACATCTTCAGGGGCGTCCCATGTTACTTCGATCTCGTTTGGACCTCTTGCTGATGCACGCAAGTTTCTCGGTTGAAGTGGTACTGTAAAATATTCACAATAATCATACTTTGCCTTCTACAACTGTTCTTGCATATAATTTATTCACTTTTGTTTAATTATAGTACTTTGGAATAATACATTTATTAGACAGGCTGCAAACAACCCAGCATAATACCATGATTACAGTAAAATCTACTCGGCCAATTACAAGGCATTTTTAAATGACAATTATTTCGGCTTTTAAAAAAATATAAATTTTCAAAAATTTTTTTTTATAAAAACAATGATCAAAAGAAAATAATATGCATTATTATAAGATAATCTATGTGATATATAATATTTGTGCAATTTTATGGATAATAATTCTGATAATATAACTTCAGACTACTACCAAAAATCTACGGTATAAAAACAGCTATTACAGTGTGTTCGTAAGTTGTCTAACATTTGAATAAAACATCTACCAGACCCAAAGACAGGTTAAACTACTCAAGAGTTCATTTATAAATATAAAAAGAATTGAGTAAAGTTAAGATTTGATCTACATGGGGGAAAAAAAAGGAGCTAATTCACACCAGTACCCTCTCTGCATGTCAAAAACGTTGGCTGCGCGTCAATCGCAATGCAGGTCGCTCGCTTATACGCAGCAAATATAGTGCAATATAGGATAGTACAGAACAGTTTATTATCCACCTCTTAGTAAACAAGACAGAAAGTGAAGAGTTTCTCCTCTCCAAAATGCATTTTTTTAAGAATGAAAAATAAACGGAAAAAAAGATTGGAAAAACACAGTAGATTACACATGCAGAAAAGACTGAAAAGAAACTTGTTTAATCAAAGAAAAAGAACAGAAAAAGAATAACACTAAAATCTATAATGTCAGCTGAAAACTAAATATAGAATTTATTAACCAGAAATGAAGGCAAAAAAATAATTAAAAAGAATATAAAGTCTTGGTTGCCTCCACCATTAGGAAACTAAGAAATAAAGACAGAAAATATAATTTGAAAAGAATACAAAAAGGTAAATGTCTTAACATCTATAAAAGAGTTAAAATATAAACTAAATATAAAAATATACAAATAAAAGCCATTAGCCAATTAATGTTGCTGATTTTCCAACAAAACTTCATTCAACAAATATCTTTATATACTTAGTATCCTGTTTTTACCGTCTTTTTTTTTTTTTTTACTTCTTTAACCATCTGCAGCCAGTATTATGGTAGACTTATTTGCTGCACAGGATCAGAGTAAAATATTGCTCAAGCCGAAATTTCCAAATCAGACAATCAACAGTTTCAAATACATGTAAGCAGTGTGCCTCTAAAGATACAAACAGCAAGTAACAATCAAGCATTTACCTTTGCTGCAGGTATGTGCTGCTCATATGTATGGAGCCAGGCCAAATCCTTTGGACCTGTCATAAGAGGCTGAATACTTTAGGCTAGTAAATTTAAGAATTTTGATACCAAATCAGTCAAATAAATTAACAAAGCTGTTAGTTCCAAACTGAAAACACCACAAATTTATTGTAAAAATTTAGCATGACACAAGTGGGTCACAATTGCAGTAGCATGGACCAAAAAGTTTAGCATGACAAGAGTTCATGATTGCTGTGACAAAGAATATGCTTTGTGTTTTGTTGGAGAATTATGCAACATTAAGAGATTAATATATAAAGAAGTGCTGAAAGGAAAGACAATTAACTGTAATCATCATGAGAAATGTCCTTACCAATAGGCTCTATATATCCGCACATACAGGGAAGAAAAGTAAACAACTGTTAGTAACATGTGGCAACAATCTTCACAAAGGAGCGTAGCTTGGCAAAAGCACAGAAGCCGGTGCTTGTACAATGTTATCGCAGAAAGATCAAGGTCAACGCACACATGGGGGGTGTACCGTACAATATAACACAGTTTCAATTTTTTTCACTGATTTTACACAAATTTTACAATGATTAATCTTATCTTTTTTGTTCACTAATCACAAATTTTACAATGATTAATCACAAAGTTTTACAATGATTAATCAATTTATATTTTTTTCATTGATTAATCAAACAAAACTTTTCAATGATCAATAACGAATGTCATTGGTCATTAAAGTTTTTTCCAAATAACACCTATACATGTATAATGAATCCCAAAAAGTGTTGGAATTGACTATTACTTTCGACTATTTGGAATGCTTCGGTATCTATAACCATAGCTACACCCCTAATACTGTTAATAATTAACATTATCATCTAAATTAACACAAACTACTTGCATAATGTATTTCATTCTACAAAAATTATTAGTGATATTATAACAAATCAAATGATATACTTGAAACTATATAAAGATTGATTATGGTTTAATATGGTGATCAAAATAATTGTCAAAATTTTATACTTGAAATTGCATTCTGTTATAAGTTATTAGTCCACAATGTAAAAAGGGGATAAAAAAGGAGAAATAATAATTTTCGCACATGCAAGAACTTTAGGAAATTTACATAAATATCTGTATTAACTACATGGCAGAATCTTTTTCTAACAGTTGACAACATATGAATTAGCTACAACTTAAAATAATTTAATAAAGCCATTCTTGACATGCCAGCCAATGTAGCCCCGCCCAACCCCAATGAAGCTCCGCCCAACCCCAATGTAGCCCCACCCAACCCATTGTCAATCTCCACAAACCATAGCAAATTATTACGATCAATGCATTTTCCTTAATTCTTCATCCCCCTTAATTGAAAACAAAATCAAGCTACATTTTTTGTTATTAAATACTGAGCCATTCTAAGTTTATAAACCTCTTCAAGAAATACCCCAGAGACACAAAGAAAGTCCCAAAATAAACTAAAGAAACTGAAAAAAAAAATGGTTTCAAGACAAGACTGAATAACCTTTTGTAAAATCATCAGAACACATCAGTGTCAAATGGGGACAAAAACTTTAAAATGTTACAGAAAAAAAATACATTTCCATTTCCAATAATATTTAATATAGTTTGAGTGGCATTCTACATTGCCATTACCTAAGGGAATAAAAAGAAAAAAATTAACTTTTTTATGTAAAAAAAAAGCCCCAAAAGCTTGTCAATTTAACAGATTTCAAATTTAAGTATTATAAAACCTTCTGTGTTAAATATAAAACCTTGACTGAATGCTTCTCATGGGCAAAGAAACTTAAAATTTTGAGAGTTTGTAGCATTATTAACAAAATAATTAAAACTTTGTAGTGAAGATAATTATGTAGCTTTAAAAATAACTTATATAAATACCCCAGCAATATTTTTGCAAGAGGAAAAGAAAGAGCAATGAATAAATATGAACAGAGCAAAAGTATTTTGTTTTCACAAATTTCAACATTTTACAACCTATGCATATAAACATTGAACTGTTTACAATAAATATGTTAGTACTTAATCTTTAGTATTTTTTTTTTTACTTGCATTCATCAGTCAAGATTTCATATACATTACTTTTAACTTTTTTAAGACACCAACAGTTTGGTAAGATGTGGTTAATAGAAACAAATGAGGAAAAACACTAACATCACAGTTCTTTGCTTTTTTTTTCTTCTTCAACAATATACTATAAATTATGCAGACTTTATTTCTATCTTAATCTAAAAGAGCAAACACAAAAGACATACAGACACAACACAATACACAAAACAATGAACATTTTTTCTTGAAAAAAAAGAAAAGAAAAACAAATATCCAAGTTTCTAACACAGATAACATAAATTTTGTTGAAATACAATCATAGGCCATCATTCAATCGGAATTAAATAACAGAAATTACTTGACTCTCTGACAACAATTAAATGCATTTTCTGAGTCAAAATATAATCTAATTAACTCAATTATCTACCTCTTTTATCGAAAAGATGACATTTAGAGTGTAGAAACATAAGTGTTATCATTTGTAGATGTTATTATTTTAAGAGCCCAAGGGAAACTAAACACTAAACACAACATTTCAAAGAGAAAGAGAAGCATTTAGTCTCTACAATTTAATGGAAGATTTGTATTTAACTTCGTAATAAAAACAACATGCAGATGCATCATAATAATAAATCTTCTTTTTTTTTTTGGAAAAATTTTAAACTGCAAGAAAAATTATTCCATGTTCCTCTTACAAGACCACTATATTTATCAGAGATTATAATATTGATATTGACATATTATATATTTACTGTAAGTACAAATGGAATCTGACTGCTCAAGTGGTGAGTTTGACCAATGACAAACAAGATTATTTAGTTTTTTTCTCACAAGGAATTCTTTCAGTGGCAATGTGAAGAAGTAACATGTCACCCACAACTAATGTCCAGGGGCAACATAATCAATTGACTGTATTGCCCAGGTTGCCCCACAGACTTTAGATTTAAAACAGACAAATAAGTCAAAATCAGATTTCATTGGCCCAGATGTCTGAAGTGATTGTACATAAATATTTGTGATTTTAATCTTTGGTAAGATGATACATACTTACCTTTTTCTGATAGTGGAAAGGCATGTTAATATCCTTGTAGATACATGTATTGGGAAAGATGATGTTGATATCTTTGAAATAGTTCAAAATGCCTTGACATTAAGAAAGAAAGATCTTAACACCAGTTTGTTGATATTGAAAAGGAAGATTGAATCACCTTTGTTGACATTTGGAAGGCAAGATTTTAACACCTTTGTTGATACTGAAGAAAAACCTTAAACATTCTTGTTGACTAAAGAAAAGACAATGTAAACACCTTTGTTAAAATTGCAAGAAAGCATTCAAACACCTTTGTTGATATATTGGAAGAAATCCTTTAAACACCTTTGTTAACATAAGGAAGGGAAGACTTTAACACCTTTGTTGATATTGGAGACATTATTAAAATATACTTGACACAAAAAAAGACAATTAAAACACACACATATTTGTTGACAAACAACAACACCCCCCCCCCCCCCAACAACCCCCCCCCCCCAAAAAAAAAAAAACACACACAATATAAACACCTTTGTTCATACTGGAAGAAAGCATTTTATCACTTTTGTTAACATTGGAAGAAAGCATTGTATTACTTTGTTAACTTTAAAAGAGAAGAATTGAAGATTTAAAATGGAAAGGAAAATTGAAACACCTCTGTTGACACTGTAAGGTAAATTTAAACACCTTTGTTCACACTGGAAAAGAGAATTTAAGTAGCTTTCTTGACATAAGACAGAAGGAAGATTTGAGTACTTTTGTTGACATGAGAAATGTCTAAAAAAACCTTTGTTGACACTGTGACGTAGATTTAAACATGCTTATTAACACTGGAAAGGAAGATTTGAGTGGCTTTGTTGAGATGAGAAAGATCTAAAAACCTTTGTTGACACTGTCAGGTAGATTTAAACATGCTTATTAACACTGGAAATGAAGATTTGAGTAGCTTAGTTGAGATGAGAAAGAAAGATTTTAAAACCTTTGTTGACACTGTAAGGTAGATTTAAACATGCTTATTAACACTGGAAAGGAAGATTTAAGTAGATTTGTTGAGATGAGAAGAAAGATTTAAAAACCTTTGTTGACACTGTCAGGTAGATTTAAACATGCTTATAAACACTGGAAATGAAGATTTGAGTAGCTTTGTTGAGATGAGAAAGAAAGATTTAAAAACCTTTGTTGACACTGTCAGGTAGATTTAAACATGCTTATTAACACTGGAAAGGAAGATTTAAGTAGATTTGTTGAGATGAGAAAGAAAGATTTTAAAAAAACCTTTGTTGAAACTGTAAGGTAGATATAAACACTTTTGTTGACAATAAAAATAATTTAAACACATTTTACATCCCTGTGTAAATGCAGAAAAGATATTAACATTAGTGCTATTTTGGGGAAGTTTTTTTTTAAATATCCTCTGCTGATTGCCTGATAAATCTATATTGACATAAAAAAGAAATATTCAAATTTAGCTTCAGATATTGCAAACAATATTGTTTAAATTCTGAAAGGTAAAAAGGATATTTTGAGAAAAGGAATCTGAAAAACTCTAAGAGAAACATGGAATAATTCTGAATCGCAGAATATTTATTTTTTAAACACAGACATTTCAGTTGATTCTTTAGTTTAAAAGGTAACACAGATCAAGAGAGAGAAACAAACATTCTAGAAGAGTGGCATGGTAAAAAGATTTGTAGAAATTGTATAAAAAAAAGAGTGGTTTTCACATAGAAGGGCAAGTTTTCTATAACTTACCAGGATAACCTTTACGTAACTCTTTAAAATTTGGTCGAATTGACTCAGTAACTGTGTATGGTTAAACATAAAACAAATTACTATCTAGCAATGTTAGTAAATTCAGGGCAAACTCTTCAAGAATCCAGCAATATATCCATAATTTCAAACTTTTCAAATTATTACACAAAATTAAAGTGACCATTAACTATTCTGTTTTGAAAATATGATTATACAAATTCTTTTAATGTCTCTAAATATTTCTTTATGAAAAATTCTCATTACTGAACGACACTGTTAGAAAATTATGACTTTTGAACTTAAAATTACAAAATAATTCATACCTTTGACAGAAACTTTCAATGATCTTATCCAAAATAATACTCTTCACAGGGGATTCTTGAAGTTTTCATAATGTTAATACATATATATAAAAGTATATATGGTTAGGTAGAAACAAAAAACTATTCTATATGCTTGGTTGGTTATTCACGAATTCGAAAACCTAGCTAAACGCCGTTTTGCGGTACTTTCTGTACATAGCTCTGGGGAATTCACGTAATGGAGTGTAATAGCGAAGTCAATGTTATCGGCCTTTTTTAAAATTAGACTGAAATAAAACACTTATTTCTTTATAAGAAAATAATTAAATATCATTGTATGAATAATCCCATAAAGATATTAAGTAAATACACAAGTTAACGCAGAAAATAACTTTATTTAATATCGAAGATTCCACTACGTCTGTTTGAATTTTATTGATTCTCATTATAAGCAATTTATTTTTTTGAATAATTTGCAATAGATATTAAACGAATATTGATAATTTTCAAAAACATCAATTTATTTCACCTTAAACGGTAGAAAAATAGACATATCTCGTAACTGTGTTATGTACTTCGTTTGGTGTAATTCCCCAGAGCTAAAACGGTAACATACCGGAAAACGGTGTTTAGCTAGGTTTTCGAAAAGGTCAATTAATACGAATATAGAATAATTTTGTCTCACTGCCTAAAAATAGTGCTCAGAATGTGCTTGAAGCAAAATAGTGCTGTTAAAGTGCTATATACATGCAAAATTCTCTTTTTCACTAGTTAAACATGTGAAATATGTTCTATTTTTTTTCATGCAACGATTTTTTCAAAATTTCAAAAACCCATTTTATACATGTACAATGTTCAGACTACCCAAAGATATATAAATATATTTATTATTAATCCTCATTTGTTTCAATACACATAGTGAGCACTTTAACCAAACTGGAAGATTTTTGTTCTCTCCCAAACAAGGGACATTGGCACTCCAAAATAATAGTTCTGTATATATCTACAGTAATACACACTGTCTAGTCATGCGGTTAAGTAACGTTATGCACTCTAGACTAAGCATTCTTTACATGTTAAAATCATTCACAAAATTCATATGTACATGTATATATATATATTTATAATTATTATACAGGTATAATGTAGCAACACAACTGACACTAAATACATCTGGTGTCAATCAAAACATTTTTTGTTTAAAAAGAAACAGAAAATTACTCAAAAAATTCTTTTGAAAATAATTTATCTGAATAATTAATTGCAGCAAGATTAGTGATTGAAACCAGACAGTTTATTCCATGGCAGTATGTTTGCATTTTATCCAAACACTGAACAAACAGAACAAAATTCTTTGACACAGGACGCAACATTTTACGCTGACCGCACACTGCATTTTGCACATCACATACTGTTAATTTGAAGCATGCTGGGTGGCTTACGCAAACGCATTTTCATGTCACACGACATGCGAACAAACGCAACATACGCTCAGTGTGCATATTGCCTCATGCGCCAATACATTTTGCATGCAGAGTGATCTCCAAACCATCAAACTCGAGACTAAAAAAAACTGTGAGATTTGGAACTGTTTCCTATTAAAAAATTGCGTATAAACCCATTGCAAAAGAAACCTTTCCTTGAAAATTTTTTTTTATACAAAGTTCTGAATAATCTTTGTTTAATCAACTAGACTATGACAAAGAAAATGCTAATTTTACAATTACATTTTCTCAAAACGCAATCATAAACAGGAAAACGTAATTAGCAACAAAATTACTTGTCCTCGCTAAAAATAGACCAATTTCAATTAAAATTCTACACAAGTTTTAAAAAGGAACTTCACTCTTTTGAAAAAAAGAGCTTCAAAATGAATTTAATCATAATGTTATACTGTTAGTAAATTTTAATATTAAGTAAAAATATTAAGGTTAAACTAATCTATACAATTATGAAACCTGGTGTAAAATTATCAATAGTTTCTTTAAAAAACAAGTTCTACGAATTATGCAATATCCACATTGTACATTATGATATTTTAACCATTAGGCACACATGTTAGGAAAGTGCTTATTCATCAAAACTCATCTTATTCAGTATAAATAAGAAAAAAGAACTATATTTTCCAAACCTTAAACTTGTCTGAGTACTGGTTAACTGTAATAAACATTGTGTGAAACATTACCATTCTTGTAATCTAGCAGCCCAAAACTACTAAAGCGTGTATTTCTATGTCCTTCACCAGGTGCCAAAATCTGTCTCCATAGCAATAACCAATTAGTAACAACAGGGACCCATCACCCGCAATAAACACAGACAATACATACCTCCTTGTCTAGTCATCACTTGAACCGGAACGGACAATGGACCTTGACCCATGCTTGAGAAGGCCAGCACACATATTGTGTAGGTGCTGTTGGGGATCAAACCACTAATAGTAGTCATCTTGTTCTCTCCTGCCACCTCTTGGTTCATCCATAGCACAATTGGTAGGTCTGGGTTGGTTGTATAAAATACTTTGTATCCCTGAAAACATCGTAGATATATAGAAATATTCAGTTTGTTCCTACTTTAAATGGGGTTGAAGTTGCCTAATTGGATGGGGGGGTGAGGATCCGGAGGAGTAGAGTTTAAGGCTTCTTTACCAAAATAAAAGTTACCAGGGCAAGCATTTACCTTATAAACAATCATAAATAAAATAATAAATAAATAATAAATGTCATTTTCTACAAAAATAACCAATCCTATCCTAAACAAAAATGTATGTCAATTAAAGGGAAACAAAATATCCTGAAAGATTTCATGACTGTAAGGCATATGGCTCAGGGGGCATATGGTGCCTTACCATCGAGTGTACCAGTTCTCGTAGAGCTTGTTTCATAGCTCTGTTCTCATCAATATTTCAACACTTTGTCTGTATGGTAGCATTTTGTATAATAACAATTTGAAATTTTACATGGATAATGCCAGATTCTAATCACAGAAATGTGTTGTTATTGTTGCCATTAAAAAAGTTTTTTTCTTTTTGTAAGGAGAACTAATTTCCATTCTAGTGATCATGTTAAAACGTATGATCTAATTTATATGAATCCGGTGTAAAGATTAAATTTATTGGAAAAATAAAGTCTTTCAATATGGTCATATCATGTGTGACAATTCCTTTTGAATCATGGCCGCCTAGCATGAACACATGAACAATACAGTCCTCAATACAAGTACAAAAGTGGAATGAAATTTCAAACATTTCATTAAAAAATATAAAACCAAAAAACAAAACAACAAATGTCATTCAATCAATAACCATAAATGAAATATAAAATCAATATGTGTCATACATGAGCATGAATATGGCCAGGCTCTATATTGATGCGTGCTTAACTTAAGTTCTCACACTGATCTGGAAATCCCTCTTACAAGTTATATCCACTATTCTGACAAGTCCTTACCAAAAGTTTAGTGTGATAATGGAAACATAAAATGTTTCAAATGCAAAATGTACAGATAAATGTTTGAACCTGAATAATTCCATTTGGTATCTCGGGCTCATCCCAGTCTATGCGTATAGTTTGAAGACTATGAGGTCGGGCTCTCACATTTCTTGGGGCAGATCCTGGCGCTAAAATAGCAAAAATAAAATCGCATGTAAGTTACACGAATATGTTAAGATAAATTAGCTGAAAGAATAAAATGTGAAGAAAAAAAAAAGTGTTCATGTAAAATAATTAAGGTTTGACACACACAAACACACTTGATTTTAATCTCAAAAAATAAAATTTTAATAATCTTAATGCAAAAAGCAAAATGTTCTTTTTTTTTCTAATACATAATTATACATATTTTGATTTTTTTATATCAAATTTAGATTCTGTAATTGATAAAATGTAATATTTAAAAAAATAATTTTTCACAAGCTTTAATAGAGCAAAATGAGAGAATAAATCGAAAATTCATGCAACATGCGTAAGTAAGTAGTTTACATGCATTTACAACAGAAAGCATGCCATAGATTGATAGATAGATAACTCTCCTCTTGAGAAATCGCCTATAATCGCAAATCATAACTTATTTCGCCAAATACTTTTTTGGTGTGACTTTTTCTTGCGTTTTTTGGTGCAAAGAGGAGAATTTTCTTGTCATTTCTGCTTGAAGGAAAATATACATGCACCTTCAACATACTAAGCATGGGTTTGTAAGCATAATAATATAAGACTGTACAAGTGTGTAGGAAATAGAAGGAATTAATATTTTTCTGTTAGATAATAAATGTTAATGAAAGAACAATTTTCTAAGATAAATGTATACTGGCTACCATTATACTCCTATACTCCTTATCAAACAAATTTCAGCCCATATTAATAAGGCTAATGCTTTAATCTTTAAAATAAAATTGCTAGGTACAATAGAAATTATTACAGAAATTTAAATTTGACATCTGTGCAAATATGTAGGGCATAATAGATCTAAACAAATCAGAGATTTAGCTAATTTTAATGTCAATTTAAATCAATACAAAAACATAACCCTTTTTTTCCCTTATTTCTGTATTTTTTTTGGTTCCCTCTAATGTTGCCGACTTCTTTGAAACAAACTAAAACTAATGAACAGAATCTAATAATTAAATCATACAAATTCAATTTAAATCAAGCTTCATTTCCTGAGGGCTTGAAAATAAAAAATATTTCCAAATGAAAAAACTGTGCACACACAATGATTGTACCTAAAAGTGCAAACGTTTCAGGTCCTGAAAAAAGATGCCACTTCTAGTAAAAGCGATTGTGCATCTCAAACAGAAAGACGTGGTACAAAAAGGACACTTTTTTCCACCTTCATCATCTCGAAGTTGTTGTTTTTTTTAAAATAACAAACAAGTATTACGCAGCAAAGAGTTTCAGAGAGAGAGAGAAAGAGCTAACTGTTTAAAAAAAAAAAAGACGAGAAAAATAATAAATCAAACATCTATAACAACACAGAAAACTTGTCGTCTGCTTCATACTCTCAAGGTCAAGGTCATCCTCTCAAGGTCAAGGTCACTAAAATTTTTTTTAAGTTTGTTCAAAATCCTATCACATTTACTGGTCACAGAAAGCACAATAGAAATAAAACATAAGACATAAATGATGAATGGTTACCCAGTTGATGTCGAGGATAGGTGTATGTTACACGATCCACGGGCGGCAGTACTACAGGAAATAAATGATCACATTAAAAATACACATTATGCAGTGGACATTCTTCAATTTTTACTATTTAACTTCACACCCATGTATCTGATTATATGACATATCACAAGACTGGCATTTCCAGAGAACCGGACATTGGAACATGTCCAGTTTTTCCAGGTTTCACCGCATTTCAGTTCTCATTACTATGACAGCAAATTTTGTAAAAAAAAATATATATAGGCATTACTTGAATGTTATTCATTTTATACCTTCTCAAAAGCACATTGCTCACTCCAGCAAAGAGTAAATGCTAATGCTTTATACAACTGACTTTACCAATTAATTCTTTGATGTGCAATAATAATATATTTTGAAATATGAAAAAAAAAATGTTATCAAGATATTTATCTATTTTTCTGAAATGAAAATAGATGTTTTTTTTTTCAAATAGTATTGATACATAGAATATATTCTTACAAGTGTGCAAATATTATTTCAAGTCAACATCAAGAATGTGCAAAAGGTAGACAGAGATTAAAATCTATAACGCCTTAAATTAGGATGCTATCAGTTTTATTTCAAAAACAAAAAAGTCACATCTAGAAAAAACGATTGAAAAAACATCAAAAGATATAGGAAATTTTAAAAAATCAAATAAATTTATGCCATTAATTTAGACCTTAAGTACGATTATCTCTTGAAAATATCAATGGATTGGTCTGAAATCCAAGCATGGAGACCCCATTGTACAAATTCAGGAGGGTAGAAGTAATGAGCAAAATTAACCTATGTGAACTGAGCAGGGTCAAGGTAATGAGCAAAATTCATCTATGTGAACTGAGCAAGGTCAAGGTAATGAGCAAAATTCACCAATGTGAACTGAGCAAGGTCAAGGTAATGAGCAAAATTCACCTATGTGAACTGAGCAAGGTCAAGGTAATGAGCAAAATTCACCTATGTGAACTGAGCAAGGTCAAGGTAATGAGCAAAATTCACCTATGTGAACTGAGCAAGGTCAAGGTAATGAGCAAAATTCACCAATGTGAACTGAGCAAGGTCAAGGCAATGAGCAAAATTCACCTATGTGAACTGGGCAAGGAGGTCAAGGTAATGAGCAAGGTTCACCAATGTGAAATGAGCAAGGAGGTCAAGGTAATGAGCAAAATTCACCTAGGTGAACTGTCTGAACTAGATGGCATATTTTAAAACACCTTCAAATTACCATATCTATAATAGAAACCCGAGATTGAGATGAAATCTTGAATGAATTCAAGGTAATCCTCATCTTGTAATTAATTTCAAGAATATTTAAGCTGATTTAACTGAATTGGAGATACAATGTCGCCTCCATAATCAATAAACTTGTTCTAAAAACTTGTAATAATGTTTTTTGATAACAACCAGTAACTTTTGCTACCAGAGTCATAACAAATTTTCACATTACATTACTTCAGAACAAAACTTTTATCACTGCAGCAACACTTATCATTCTTATGTTTAATCAAGCAATCTTAAAGTTAACACAAAAAGGTAAGAGCTACCTTTTCAGTATTAAAAGCATTATCAACATGATATTGAAAAGTTTGCAATTTTTCAAGTTTTCCTCCAAAAGCAAAGTATTTGAACATCAAAATCAGATAATCTCCAAACTAGATGTCAAAGAACTCAAACTCATTGATCAATGAATTACAAGACAAGATGAGTGCTAAACAATTAAAAATTCAAACAATCTCTTAGAAAAAAGAGAAATCTAATTTAAAATTCTATTTTTAGAATAGGTTAAAAAGATTAATCATACAGCATATATATGAGAGCCATACTTCTTGTTAAATAAAATGTTCATTATCTTGTTAAATAAAATGTTCTTTATCTACGGAACTTTATTTGTAAGTCTTTTCTTTCTTCTTTTACAAATATTGCATTTTCAAAAATATGAAAGAAAAGAAAATCAAAACTTGTATGTTGTTCTTCACACCCATTAGAATAATTCTTGTTAGTGTTGAAACTGTTATCATCTAAAAAGAATTTGCTGACTAAATACATTTTACATTTGTATGCCTTTTTTTCTTCTTTTTTTTAAGTCTAAATTAAATACTTGATCCTAGCAGAATTATGGTTCCCCTTGGAAAAGCACTCAAGAACAAGTTTGTTCCCATCAAGATAAGAAGAGCTTTGGCTTTTTTTTTTAAATCCAAAATTGCAGGAAGAAACAGCAGTTAAAAACTGGGTAAAAAACCCGTCTGAATTCATTTCTAATTACACCAAACATAATTTATACTCTATGTAATGTATGAATCATTTTAAAAAAAATACACTTATAATTTTTCAAAAGGTGTCTTTGTATATATTCATATCTCTTTAATTATTTTCAAAGGAACTGGCTCCTTGAAAGAGATTTAAAATATAAAATTTATGTAAAGAGAAATAGTTAAAACTAAAAAAAAAGGAAAACTGTAAAATTTTTACTTTTCCATCTAATTTTCCCCCCCTACACATAATTTTCAAAAGAGCGAAAATTGAAAGTAACTGCGCTAACAATTTAGAATAGTGTTTGGACTTAAGACAAAAAAAAAAACAAAACAAACTAAACTTTTGATGTAAAATACATACATGTGTTTTATAATACATGTAATTTAAAACATTATAACTTTACATGACTCATCTATACATTAGGCCATAAAACGATCAGGGATTGTTTAGAATTACAAACAACCATTCTGCAGAGATGAATTTCACAATAGTTTTCAATTTTTGCACCAGCGATAATTGCTGAGCGAATTCCCTGTTTTCCTATAGAAAAAACATATTTAGCAGGTAGCTTTCATTCTCATTAAAGTATTCAGTTTCCAATTGTGGTATTTGTCTCCAATTAAATATTACAATCTCCCAGTTTTCAGTACTCGGAATGTAATAAAGTACACATGTTTTCCATAGCATATTTTCATCCTCCCCACCTGATTTTAATTAATATTAATTTTTTGCAACCAATTAACCAAAAACAATGCCAACAACCCATGTCCTATAGCATTTTGCAGAAGCATTTCTGCGTAAAAGTCTATAAAACTCTTGTTTATTCAAGATAATTTGGAAAACTTGCATTTTAATGATGTAATAAAATGCAAATTTTCCCTCAAAATCTGGAAAATCATTATTATATAAAGAAGGATAAAACACATTTCAGTATGTTTCACAGGTAAACTCAACATGTAACATATTCATATAACACAGCATATAAACTTTCAGAAAATTCTTTCCTCGTCTTTTCACACCCATGAATCAGTGTTTTTATCTCACTCTCTTACCTATAAACACTGATCATACCCAAGATTTTTTCCCCCTGTAATCTAGATCAGTCAGGGTGGAGTAAGATATAAGGGCTTATCAGTTAGTTGAAGATTGTCTAATCTTCCCTCATACAGTTCTATGGAATATCTCCCCCCCCCCCATCTCCAGGCCCTCCATGAAGAGCAACAGCTATTACATTTCACAATTAGCAGTTAATAAATTACTTTATCTTCAGTTTGCAAACACACCCTATTGAATTCCTTTTAAATTTCTACCAGGGACCCTTTACTTTCAAAAATAAAATTGCCTAAATTAACTCATTAACCAAAAACAAGATGACTCAAATTGCATGCCATATTAGAATTAAGTGCATTCTGGGAAGGATAATAAAACCTAAACCAGTTAAAAAGTGATAGCCTACAAAAAATAATAATCGAATTTGTAATTAAAATTACAGAGTTGTTGATGAATAGATTTTATCATATCAAGACAGTATGGCTGTGATATGGATGTAAACATTTCTCAAAAGACACATTTTCGAACATTCCGAAGTAAAATAACATGCACAGCAAGCGCACGTATTCTTTGCATACGTTTCCCAAGAAGCTTTTGAACTTTCTCAAGAAAGTCTTAGTGGAATATGCTGTAAAGTTATGCCTTATCAAACTATCTCTATAACCTGAAGGGGAACCAGCTTATTTAATAGTGATTAATAAAACTTGATACCAATCTAACTAGATCAAACATATGTTGTTCACATTTTCAGCATGGGTTTTCCATGTCATGCAACTATGCTTTGTTGATTTCAGGTTTTTTTCCTTCATCTCTACAGGAATCAGTTTGGTGTCTACAGACAAATCTTAGTGAAATTTGCTGGTGATGAATAAAGCAGACTGAGAATAAAATAATCAGTTTTAGAAAACTGAACTTGGCAATCACTGGCATAAACAATAAACAAAATGAGCTATTTCAGACATTGGATATAATTTGTTGGATGGTTGTTTTATGTAAAATATTCACACAATAATAGAATGCTGATGCTGAAACTTCATCAATCAGTATTGTTAAAGTTTTGATATGAAGCAATACTAAATATCTTAAAATCACTTGTCCATTTTTTTATCAGTACAAAACCATTTCATCATTTCTACAGAAAATTTCAAAAGATGTACAGGCTAAATAGTTAACAGTTACTAAGACAGCATGATTGTGCCGGCTGATCTTGGTCTTCACTGGCCACTTGGGGTATAATCTGTTGCTGACAGCATGTAGGTGAAGAGTTTAAGTTTATGAATTTTCCTCTTAAAATTATTTTCTTTGCTTAATGAAAACAATTTTGCTTATATTTAAGTTGTATAAGGTTGTATAAGTCCCGACTTCTTGTACTCCGATAATAATAGGAACTTATATTATCAACCACAATTATTCAGAATCAAGCACAGGTGTGGAAAAAATTATATTACAATGTAATTCTTCTTATATGAATATACTTGTATCATATTTCCTTACCAAGTCTGTACAATAACAAGAGCTGTCGGTAGGACAGCACACTCGACTATTCTAAGTGCTTGATAGTAAAAGAGCCTTGATAATGTTAAATTTTTTAAGTTCACAAAGGGCTATTTTCTTTTTATAAATTCATGTTATAGGCCTTAGAGAGAGTCTAATTATACAGTATTGGCTTGACTATTTGGAAGGTAATGTCACGAGGGTGTTTTATTGAGTATAATAAT